AGCTCTGATTCGTCGTTCTCCGGGCTCAGGCCAAACCGTGTGCACGTTTCCATTTGTTAATATGTTGTGTTATTGATTTAGGCCTAATCATCATTTTACAATTGTATTTCATTGACACATCAGAAGCAACTAATATACGACTCCAACGGAAGGAAAACCAAGATATAAAACAAGAAACACTGTTAATTTTAAGTAACATAAAATTGATAATTTTAAAAACATATTTCAAATATTTGCCTTTTTATATATGGTTTTTTTTATTGTAGTCTAAATTAGGGGCAATGGCTATGATTATACACTTTTATAATGTCTTATCTAATAATTTACTGTATTATTTTCAATACGATTTGTTTCAACTAGCAACACCACTAGTACAGGCCACTAGTAGGAGAATAATTGTCATTATTGTTGGTTATCATAAAAGAAATTGTTGATAGTGGTCGAAAAATGCAATAAACAGTAGGTACTCACTCTCAATTGGAAAATAATTTTGTAGGAATGGTGCAGTTGAACATGGGATCTTGGGATGTAATGACCCTATAGACCAGATAACTATACAGGGTGGTAAAAAAGTCCCTGGACAGTTAAATATTTTAAAAAAATAATGCAGATAGAGCTACAATACTTGGTACAAAGTTACAGGGCATAAAACTCTATTTTAACACATATTCAGTGATCCAATAACTCTTCAGGGGGACGGCCCACAAGGAGTCGGAAGAAAATCTTAAATGGAAGCATAGGTCAATATGCACATCAAATTAAAGGTCTTTTTTAGTAGAATACAATGCCGCAAACCGCACTTCAAAAGGTTGATCCTGCGCAAAATGACAGTAGTTCAAAGGTTCATTTAATTTACATTGCTATTATACGCTTACTCCTCAGGGGGCACAGCCCTAGGAATCGGAAGAAAATTGTTAACGTAAGCATAGGTCGATATGCACATCAAATTAAAGGTCTTCACTAGTAGATTACGATGCCGTTAATTCAAGCTCAAAAGAATGCCCGAGTAAAAAATGACAGTCGTTCAAAGATTCAAAATGGCGGATTCAAGAAATCTTTAAACATCTGCCATTTTGCGCAGGATCAACCTTTTGAAGTACGGTTTGCGGCATTGTATTCTACTAAAAAAGACCTTTAATTTGATGTGCATATTGACCTATGCTTCCATTTAAGATTTTCTTCCGATTCCTTGTGGGCCGTCCCCCTGAAGAGTTATTGGATCACTGAATATGTGTTAAAATAGAGTTTTATGCCCTGTAACTTTGTACCAAGTATTGTAGCTCTATCTGCATTATTTTTTAAAATATTTAACTGTCCAGGGACTTTTTTACCACCCTGTATACTGTAGCAGGAGTTTGACTTAAGCACCTAATGGTTATCTTCAACTTGTTTACAACTCAGGCTAAGGCTGTTAAAATATCTAAAATGTTCTCAAGTTTGTCTCTAATAGCCTGTTTTTTACATCCATTAAAGGACACATATAATACACAGCCATTCTCCAATGAGAAAAAGCAGCAGCAAACTTATCAGGCCTATCAACCTCAAAGACTCCAAATCACAGTTTGAAATTCAACATAACCAAAGTTTCAGGCATGCTAGAATAATATTCAACCGTTATTTTATGATTGAATGTTACTATAAACAATGACCGTTAATTAATATACCAAGAAAGTTATAGTAGTAAAGTTATTAACAAGAAATGTATTTTTTTGCAGAGTGCTGCCTTCTGCACCAAGAATTGGTTGTGACGAAGAAGTTCTCTCAATAGTATCAAACCATGAGGAAATCAACGGACTATCGAGGTATTTAAAAATTAGGGGCCTACATTCAATTGTACATTTCAGTAAGCTCTAGACTGTCGCCAGGAGTTATCAAGAGTGGTTTTAAGTATATTGATTCTGTCATTTTTTATTAAGTAATTTTGTCTGTTGTGTTGGTCGATTTTAAGGCATTTTTCATCTATCTTCATTAAAAATCATAAAAAATCGTCCATGCAGCTAAATTCATGCACATCATAACTCAGCATAATTAATTGGATTTTAATACCCATTGTATGATTAAAAAATACTTGAATACTACAAAATAAAAATATGAAAAAATGTTTGTGCCACTATTTTTATGAATAAATGTTAACTAAATGAAACTCCTGTAATAGCCATTTATTTATAAATATTATAGAAAAAAAGAAAATATGAACTTTAGTAGGGCAAAATAACCCACATATTTCCTCAATCTAATTGAAGCATTACAAACATCTTTTTCGAGTAAATAAACAAACACCAGTTAATTGCATTGACCAGCTGTTTCATTAAAGAAATTAAATTAAATCATTCTTTAGAAGCATGTCAGGCGCAGCCTTTTGCAAATAGGCCTGTGGGGCAGAGCCCTTAATAAATTTGTCCAAACAAATACTTTTCGGCAAATATACACACTCCAAGCTTCATTTTGATGTGCCATTTGCCTTTATTTTTATTTGATAAAATGCCTTATACGTTTACACAAATTCGAATGTATCACTTTAATAATACAATAGATGTTATAGAAAAAGAAAATATGAACTTTAGTAGGCGGGTTAATTTTTTTTGGGATAGCCATAAACATAAATCATAAATATGATAGGGGAACATTCACTAAGCCTTTTACAAGGACTTTACTGCCTTTAGAGATAACCTTAAAAACATTATACTGCAAAAACATCAAACCAACAAGTTAGTCATTGTTGATTATCTTGTACATCTAAATACGTAGGTTGTCTAAACAGATAAAAATTAAGTTTCAATAAAGAAAATGATATAGTTAGTAACCAACAACTTGAAAAATGTAAATAACAACAAAAACACGGCCACCAACACATTGACTTTCTCAAAACATCTGGAAACAGTAAAACAAAACTAATTATGTATTTTTTTTATCAGCCATTTTTGTAATTTAAATAAATAAAAATATAACATTTTAAATTGAATAAAGATAACCTTTTTTTGTAACATGGATCTCTTCTACCTAACATACATACCAATTTTCATTAGGTATGTAACAATCAAAAAAATTGTTATGTAATAAATACAAAATTGAGGATATCTGGTTAATGAAGTGATTTTGGAAAAGTGTTATTCCTGATTTTCTTTATATTTGGACCCAAGGAACCACTACGTAAATTTTGCCCCCACCTTTTCTGAACATCCTGTAGATCCAGTCCAGATCAGACTGAAATTGACTGGGTTAATGGAGAAAAGCTTTCAAACATTGAATGTGCGTACTGGGTGGAGGTACTTTGGAGGACGTCGCGTACATTTGCAAAATGTTTACCATCACTACTATGTTTTGCACAATAAAGCGATTATTCACCAATTCCATTTGAGTCATTGATTAAATTACCAGGATTTGGTATACAAAGTCATGACATGATCACCGATGTGGGCCTAATAGTGCAAATGTGTATAGCTTTCCGCTAACTCTATAAGCCACATAGGCATTTTGTACGTCTAGACCCTCTGCGTTTATCCATCAACTGTGCTCTAATTTAAAACAAGAAAAGTGCTTCAAACTTTTCTCAGGATCTAGTTAGCAACCTAATGATTACCAGGTAATTTATATAACCATTCACTTACCTCAGCTATGTTTTTTTTTTGTTTAAAAATAGTCTACTGTAAAAATTACTAAAATAACTGTACTCTAATAGGGCTGTAAGACAAGTATATGTAATATTTTGAAAAGTTTAAAAAAGTATAGTCTTTATCCGAAAAATTTTGTTTGAAGGCCTGCTGATGAAAAGAGAAGAGGTAGAAAACGAACTGTCAATTCTCAAGTGAGCGATTACAGACCCAAACGAGCTCGAGCTTCTTCAGGCAAAACTCGGGATAAGAAGGATGGATCTAAAAAATTATCTGCTTAAGGAAACATTGATCTCATTGATGAATCATAGAAAGAGCTTTAATATTGTCAATACAAACAAAATAATTTTGTAATGTTGTTTAGGAATGAACAAAAGTGTTTCAAAATTTAAATGAACTGAAAATAGTAAAATTAATAGTGACATGATTATTTTACAAAACTTTTCCCAGCTTAGACAATTTAGGTGTTTCAATTGTAATGTTAGGTACCAGAACAAAATTACAATATTTTGTTTTGTATTGCTTGCTAAATGCCTTTTAAGTACTTTAAGGCATGTTTTGTAAAGTTTGTTAGGGTTTATTATACCTTGTTACCTAGATGTGATAAAGTTTACACTAAACACTAAACATTATCAATATGTACATAATTTTCGGCACTATATATGTAATTATTGTTTTATAGATCAATCTTGTATTATTGTTGATATTTACTTTCAAAATGAAGTGCAATTTAGTGAAGCCTGTTACTAACGGCGCTTTGCAATAAGGACATAAAACTGAAAATAAACAATAAGTGCAATGTTATGCTTTAACATTTTACAGCATTTGTTCTATTTATTATTGTTGAAAAATAGTTTTAAGTTTTCTAATATCTGAATAGTTAAATGCATAATAATGAGTTCAACCGCATAAATAATTTGTAGGTTTTAGACATTTTGTATACACCTTGTTTCTTACTTACATTCTTGCTATACAGTGCCTTACATGTTTACTCTTAGTTCAAATAAATAACAATTATGTTTGTTATGTGTTACCATATCCTCTCATCTGCTGTATTGTCAGTTGTACAAGTGTTGTTTTTACTGTTATAAAATATATTAAACATATTAAAAATGTTGTTTCAAAGTTCTCACTGTGTGATATTATTTTACCTACCTCAAATCTTGAAGTAAAATTAAGTTGTGACAATGGTGTTCTTTTAATATAATAAACTGTAACGATGTTTATAAAGTCATTTGGTATGAAATCTTTCAGCATTTCAACTGTAAACAATTTATTTAATTTTGTGAACAAAATCCACACAAACACAGGATACTTCTTACATAAAACTACATTATTTCAATCTTTGTTATTGATTCAACTGTTGGAATCAAACTCTTTCAGAAAATTTTAGAAAAATCTTTCACCCAAAGTTTTTACACCTAAAGCAGAAAACAGGGAGTCCATAGTCGATGTTATATAGTTCAGAGCTTCGTCAAACATGCTTCTAGTAGAATGAACTGTGTTCAATAGATTTTGTGAGTGCTGAAAACAAAATATATTAAAATAAAATAAATTGTTGACTGTACATGGGAGCAAAATATGTTTTATGATCCAGTTTATAACTAGTAATATTGTTTGGTGAATTTCTAAAAGCCTTCGATAAGAAGTATCAATAGGAACATGTAGAAAGAATAACAAAAGATTTTGTTTACTTTGCAAAAGTTTGATGGCAAATATTCAGAAAACTTTTTACTGTGTGTAATTAGTTTGGAAAAATTTTGAGTTGTCCAAAAACAAATCTTATAAGAAGTTTAGGAAAACGACCAATACATAGTGCTTCCACACCAAATACAGACATCAAAACCATATGTTACATACCAGACTAAATCTCCTTACCTCATGGCAAACTTTACAAGAGCACGGACATCTCAGTGTTGAATTGTGCTTGGAGTTGGTAGGCAGCAGATGAAGAGGGGGAGCAGGGAGTCTGCGGGAGAAGGGGATTGGAGGGGGAAGAAACAGTTTCATGCTCACTGGATTTGGTGGAACGGGAGTTATGGACCAGGTTATCTTCTCATAACTGATAGGTGCATTCATGTTGGACCCTAGAGAAAAATATTCATTTATATATAGAATACCAATGACAGGGCATTTGCCTACTTTATAATAGTTAAAATTTATTCGATGCTTTCAAATTACAAAAACTTTGGAAATGGTGTGAATACCTTTCCACCTTAAGTATACAATAAACAGGTATTTACAAAATTGTTATTAATAATTTTGAATCTTTTCAACGCTCTCAAGTTTTACTCAAATATTCATTCAAAGATAAAAAAGTGATTTATTGAATATTAATGGCTCAGTAAGAGACAACTAATCCTAGGCAGTGATGTCTTGGATGTGACACAATGCCGCCAATAATATTTACCAGTACACTTCACTCTTGTACTCTACGGGCTCATCCCTACTTTGCACGCACAGGCGCGAGGCCATTTAGGGCAGGTAATGGAATGTTGAAAGCACCAACCAACTTACAAGTGAGATGAGGAAAAAAGTCTGCAAGACAAAATTATTACTTCAAAACCATTCTTATGTTTGTGAATTGCTATTTTTTTTATGATACAAAAATATAAATTATTTGTTATCCAATTCCTTTTTGTTAATGGTGTGACTCACTTCATTTATTTAATTACTATTAGTATTATTTATTTAATTACTACTTACCAGTGTTAACCATGACTTTGAACTGAACTGGCCTAAGTAAGTTCCACATTTTATAAATTAAAATGTAGCTGATTTGCAAGTAAAGATGCTGATTAATTTGCTATCCAATGTAAACAACAAAACTTGCTGAACTAGGATAAATATCATTGATATCTTATCATTGCTTGGTGAACAGTTTAATTAATAATCATATAATTGGATCTTATCTCTTTGTAAGATTCATAAATGAATGTCATGAAGTTTTTGGTTGTTTTTTTTCATGTTCCAATGAAAGAAGTTCTTTTGAAAGTTTCTGGACAGTTACAAAAACATGTTTATTCTTTTATGCTGGTATTGTCAATTTGAATTAAAAGTACAATTTTATTTCAAGCATTAAGTATTGTTTTTACAACACAATTGTGCCTATTCAAAAACTTACAGCAATATATAGCATAGGCATGTATAGCAATATACAGTATAGGTAATGTATAGTAAATAAGAAACACAATATATTTCATCACTACGGCCTAAAGTGTCTCTTTTCGACCTGAGACCAAGCTAAGGTCAGAAAATGACCGAGGGTTTAAAATACACTTGCCTGTATGATGAACTATATTTTTTGTCATATTACACCATTATTTGAAAAAAAAAACAATGTTACAAAACTAAAATAGTTTTCATTTAAAGACAACCTCTGATAACTTCTAACTTATTTTCAATTTAATTTGCTAATTGAAACAAGCAGCAAGTAAGTGATTCAATTGTTTCGTCTATTGCGACTGTATACATTAAACTATCGATATGTCAAACTAACAAAAATTAACTACAATCGATTAAGCAATCAATACATACCGGTACTTTCGATACACGCAATTGTTTACAATCAAAATCTACAACTGAGTTAACAACTGCTGATTTTTACTTCCTAGGGGCAAAAAACGCTTTTTACTCCCTAGAGAGTGCTACTTTAGACCCTTAATGCATGCATTAAATACGGCTGTTTTTGCTGCAGTATGACGATGGTAATCATTTCTCAATGATATATTTGTAAATAAAATTTTATTTACTTTATAACAATAATTCATTGTAATTTAACATTGCATAAGACTACATAAATCATATAAGGTACAATTTTTCAATATTATGGTGGAATATGAGCTTATTTAGTAGTTTACGCAACAATTGCGTAAAGATAAAAGATAGTGTTAACGGTACAAGTAGAACTAGAAATTTAAGGTAGTACGAGCCTTGGCAAGTTGAGCCTAAAGTACGAGGCCTTGGTGATTTGAGTACACTACTTTACCTACGACAGTTTTTTTTTAAATTACTAACAATCACTACTCATAACTTCTAAGAGTCTATGTTTTTGTTTATAACCTCTCATTGCCATGACAGGGATGCAACTAATCATTGTACCAAATGCTTATTGCACCACTCATTGACAATTAAATTGGTCTAAACAGCTGATTAGTTTAAGTTCATGCATTGCAATTTAACTTCCCTTCTCTCAATCCTTGAACCTCATTGGTTCGTTTCCTGTGTTTTAAGTAAAACAATGCTGTTGAGGGAATTTTTTCAATTCTAAGAACTGAACTGAAACGGCTAGTTTAAAAACGGTCGTAGGTAAAATATTTAAAAGCATGATAAAAATTCGCTGGATGACAAATATGTACAAACATAAGTGACAATAATTTTTCGCTAAACTACTGTGAAATGATTATCAGTTACATTTTTATCACCTGAGAAAATTCATCATAACATTTTGTTTATTACGGCAAAAGAATGTATACTATGCAAAAGTAATGGTTTTTTATGTTTTTTTTTTTTTTTTTTTAAGAGGTTGGAGGCCTCTTTTAAGCTTGCATTTGCCCGTTCACATAGATTACAGATCTGTTCGTGGAACGTATCTCAAAATTATAATTGAGATTGGGACACCACCTAGGTACATATTTTAACTTTAACCCAAATATGAGTGAAGGATAGGTGTAGAATGGTGTGAAATGTGTAGAATGGTGTGAAATGTGTAATTTTGTTACTGACTAAGATCGGCTGTTTCATCCGTCAGGATCATCCATATATAAATCCCAAAGTACCCATGAACTTTTGAGAAAACCAAAAGTCACATCCCCATAAACCATATACTTAAAATGTTCGTCATGACGAGAAACCTTGTGCAAAACTATCCATTATTTCATAAATTGCCATTTAATTTTGTAATTCTTTTCTAAAGGGAACTTTCCATATACCTAATGTTAAAAATACCTCAGCTGTACTTATTTGTATGTTATTCTTTCAATTTATTACCTTATTAAAATCAGGTGTGATTATTTGTTTGTATTACTGTATTCCTGTTTTGTTTATTTCAGCTTAACTTAACCTAACTAATCAATAGTTTTATTAATACTTTTGAAGTCAAACAGGGTGAAGCAAGGCCCCACTAGAAAAAAACCGGCCAAGCTGCAGGATCCATGACGTCACACTAGTGGATAGATTTCATTGATAAATTCGTTGTCATCGCCATTCCCATATGTTTTAGGTAAATAAACAAGCTGGCTGTTTGTAAGATTTTAATGGTAAGAGTTTAGTACAACTATCCACCACTGTGACGTAGTGTTGCGCTGCCCGTGCTGCAGCATGGCCTGTTTTTCTAGTGGGGCCTTGGGCGAAGCCAGTGGGTAACAACTAGTTTATTTAAAGCCCAATGATCAGGAATAGCTGGGTCCAGTTTCGAACCATCAAACAGCTATTAAATTTTCTCAGGATTGAACACACTGCAAGGGCTTGCCTTGGATAACAGTCTTATCTGAGTGGGAAGGAGCCAATGCTCGTACTGTACAAGATTCACAAAAAACTGGTAAAAAGATTAGTAAATTCTTTGCCTCTGACAAATTTTTAACCAAGGAATGTTTATTTTGGTAATAAAGATGTAATCTTCTTTTATCCACTTGCTGTCATTAACATTGAACTAGTCTAAATTGTGTATAATATAAATACAATTGTGCTTTAATTCAAGAATTAAGCATGCAATCCCAACAAAATCCCCATATCTTTGCTTTTGTACTCGTATCATTTATGTTCAATTCAATTATCCGTTTCGTTTGGTAACCAACCTGAATCCAATCCTCATCTACAACGGCCACATTAGCAATTAAATAACAACAATAAAGTCACCCGTTTATTTAATGTCCGAGAAATACTTCCAATAACGTTCATGTCACACTGAACTTACAGAAGATGCTACAGAATACTTGGCTTCCGTCTTCTTCTTCACCATTTCCTTTAATTTACGTATCCGTTCCAGTCCTTGCCGATACTGCTGCTTCAGTCGGTCTGTTTGTGTCTTCAGATCAGCTAAATGTTGAGATTTCTCTTCGTAGTCTTTGAGCAATGTCGGATACGCCAACAGCCCTGACTGTTGTTTGATCTTCACTGTACTCCTCTCCGTCTTGTGTTTCGTAGTTTTGATTTTATTCAGATTCTCCCTCCTCTGTAAAACAATTAGGTTAATTTATTTTTAATTCGGAACACATGCAACGTGTTTGGTGTTAAAGTCTTTTAAGTTCTTAATATTTAAGTAAGTGACACATAAGTGACAAAGTTTATCTAAAGAGTGAATCTTGACTGATTTACTTAGTCTTTCTACTTTAATTTAATGTGAGTTACCGAATTTAAATCTGAAGTGATCAGCTGTAACTTCATCCGTTCCTTCTCCATCTCGTCTTCTCTCCGTTTCAACTGGTCTTTAATCACGTTTAGATTGTCTTCCATCATGTCTATTTTGAGTTTTACCTCTCCAATCTCAATGTCTCTGTAAAATTAAGGATTAAAATAGAATCATATTTCCAAGAATTGTGTTGTTTTGAAAAGAATAATAATATTATTGGAAGCTTTTTTTGGACGGTTATAGTTCATTAACGATAGGGTAGGTTTTAGATCTCGCCTAAGCATCAGAACGAAACTAGTTTGATCCTGATGAGAAAACAGTTGTGCTTTCAGAAATCAGAGACATTTTTTTAAAAAACAACATTTTTTATAGTTTGAAACTGGACTCAGCTGTTCCTGATAATCATGCTTTTAAAATTACTAGAGGTAGTCTCGTTGTCGAAAACTCGACCAAAAATATGTAATGTGCAGACTTCTCTATTTTCACCCCACGCTGTAAATACAACATGTGATTGACATTTCTTCCATTTTTTTTTTTTATTTTCTCTTTATATTTTGTTATTATTTGTTCACCAGCATGGAAACCCATAAGGCCCATGTTAATTTTTTTTTAATTTAAAATTAATTTGTTGTGTTTATTTTTGAGCCTATTTTAATTTATAAAGGGATTCTGCACGTCTAGAGGAAAATATCTTTCTAACAGTATGCACAAATTTTCCTTGCGATGCACACGAGCTGAGAAAAAAGGTTTTAAAGAAACATGCTTGCTTATTAATATACAGGGTGATCAACTCAAGGAGGTCACCTTTGGTTTATTGGAAATGGTAAGAATTAGACAAAACTTTAAATGGGGGACATTCCTTTATTTTTTGTGGCAGTTAAAAATATGATTTTAGTTTTTCAAAATTCAGCCGCCATTTTCCGAAATGGCGGCCAACTTTGAAATTTCTTATGGAACACACTGTATTTTATCATGTTTTTGGATAGAACATGCAATTTAAAAACTTTTTTATTCTTGACATTTTTTCGATAAACCCACTCCACTCGTTTAGGAGTATGGAAAAATGACTTCCGGTGTACATTTTACATCATGTAGCTCCAAAAAAAGTAGGTTTATAGCAAAAATGCGAAGAGAAAATAAGTCAAATAAGTCTTAAAATTGCATCCACATTCCAAAAAGTCCATAAAATTCGTTAAAATATTAATTCTATTATTTAAAAATGGCGGCCATTTTCCAAAATCTGAAAAAGTGGAAAACTGTGTATTTTATGGTCTTATTGGAATGTGGATACAATTTTAAGACTTATTTGACTTATTTTCTCTTCGCATTTTCGCTATAAACCTACTTTTTTGGAGCTACATGATGTAAAATGTACACCAGAAGTCATTTTTCCATAGGCTGTATCTCCTAAACGAGTGGGTTTATCGAAAAAATATCAAGAATAAAAAAGTGTTTAAATTGCATGTTCTATCCGAAAACATGATAAAATACAGTGTGTTCCATAAGAAATTTCAAAGTTGGCCGCCATTTTGGAAAATGGCGGCTAAATTTTGAAAAACTAAAATCTTATTTTTAACTGCCACAAAAAATAAAGGAATGTCCCCCATTTAAAGTTTTCTCTAATTCTTACTGTTTCCGATATCCCAATGGTGGCCTCCTTGAGTTGATCACCCTGTATAGAAGATGTAGATGGTCCTGACTAATGTCCAGTAAGTCAGTAACAAAGTTATACAAGTCAACTTCCATTATACACCACCATTGGATAATTTACATTCAGCTTAAAAATGTACACAGTAAATGTGTCCTTGTCTCAAGTAAGTAATTAAAATTTTTAACTGTTTTAAATAATTAGTTTTAGCGAACTGAGTTATTCTGTAAACCCAGTATGTACTGAGAAGCGATAGAGAATAAAGGTATTTTGATTTATTATTTGATTTGATTTAATCTCAAGTACTGTATTGCAAATCCTCATTGAACTTATTTGAACTCTGTTGAAAGTCCAACATATTTTCTAGAAATAAAGTGATCCATTATAATGTTCCTCTTTCACATATTTTTTACAAGAAAGTATATTAACCTGGACAGAAAATCAGTACAAATAAAAGGTCAGAGTATTGTTTTATAGCTTAGACAATTATTTGATACATTTGCGTTTACTGTTAAGAAAACACTGATGCTCACAGTAATCCTGCCCTGAACCAGTAATCTAATCACAAACCTCTCAGTTATTTTGTCCGTGTAATATTCTTTGAGGCTGGCGAGTTTTTCATAATCCATCAGTTTAAAGTCACCTCCCGAGTCATCCATCTGTCCTTCTGCTCGCTTCATCTCTATTCTTCGTCCCAGTTTTATTTTGACCAACCGACATTCACTTAGCTGTTTCATCTGTTGCTCTTGACGGTTAAGAAGGTCTTCCAAAGCCTGCGGATGTGTAGAAACTTAATTTAAATTGATTTAATTTTTGAGATAACCACTACCATATTAAACATAACCCGTATGTTTAATCTATGCCACTAACGAGCTAGATGAATCCTTTCATCTATTTCTCATTACATAATTACTTGTTAACTACCTTAGTTAAAGAACAATTCTAGCTCATTAACTGGATTCCAAAAGACATCCAGACGAATAGGTGCAAGAGGTAACTACATTTAGCTTCTTTCTACATTCACAGGGAGCTTAAAATCGTTTTATTTAAAATCCAGCCAATGAAATAGGCTGGAAGCTGGACCTGGGAGTGCTACACTGGGAGAAAATTTTATCATTGTCTAATAAACTGTTTTTATTATTGTCGCCATAGACTGTTAGGTTCAATTCAATGGTCTGGTCAAGGAATTCAAACAGAAGACAGAACTGTAAACAAAATAAATAAAAATAAATGTGAATAAGTATATCAATCTCACAAAATAAGATTCAAATAAGATTCAAAACAGTTAGTGCAGTGTATTATTTCAAATCAAAGCAAAATCAGAATCATCTTTTGTAGCCTACTAATCCATTTATACAGTAATCTCAGATGTTACCTTGTCATGTTGAACCGTCCGGCCTGTTCGTGGATCTATTAGTTTTGCCGCAACTTCTCTCTTCATAGTCATCAGTTCTTCAAGAGACTGTTTCATTTCCGCATTCAACTCTTCATTCACCGTTCTCTGTGTCTCCCATTCTAAAAAATTAACAAAAAAAACAACTCACAATCAAAGTATAGTTTAATCTGCTTAATCACTACTGGGTCTGCATATATGTTTGATGTGGCGAGGGTGTTTGTGTTTAGTATGTTTATTACATTATTATGAAACGGAAATTTAGTTTAAATTGTGCAATGTAAAACTTTGTTTTTAACACGTACTCTTACGTTGGTTTTTATTTTATTTTTTATTTTATCCGACTTTGCTGCAGTTGTTTTAGGTTGGATAGTCAATATTCTACTGTTTAAGCAGTGATACATAAATCCACTCTCCATGTTACTGGATTTAATATACAAGGTGTTTCAGTAAAACGTAGCGGGCTATGCAGATTCAGATTCTACATGCAAAACTAAGGCGAAAATGTTGAATAAAATTTTTTCGATTTTGGCTTAGTTTAGCCGTAATCCGCCATTTTGTATTTTGTTGAAAATAATGAATAACTCAAAATCCCTTGGAGATATTTTTATGAAACTTTGTATAAACCTTAAGTCAACCGACCGGTGCAAACATTCTCCAAAAATATCTTTGATTAGGCTCATCAAATTTCAAAATGGCGGTCATTTAAAATTTTGTGTTAATAGCTGGTTTTCATGGAATTTTACTTTTAAAATTTTAAATGGCCGCCATTTTGAAATTTGATGAGCCTGATCAAAGATATTTTCAGATAATGTTTATATCTGTAGACTTAAAGTTTATACTAAGTTTAATAAAAATATCTCCAAGGGCTTTTGAGAAATTAATTATTTAAAAAAAAATACAAAATGGCGGACTACGACTAAACTAAGCCGAAATCAAAAAAAAGTTATTAGACATTTTTGACTTATTTTTGCATGTAGATTCTGATTCTGCATAGCCTGCTACGCTTTACTGAAACACTCTGTATATACAGGGTGATCAACTCAAGGAGGCCACCATTGGGATATCGGAAACGGTAAGAATTAGAGAAAACTTTAAATGGGGGACATTCCTTTATTTTTTGTGGCAGTTAAAAATATGATTTCGTTTTTACGAAATTCATTTCCGCCATTTTCCAAAATGGCGGCCAGCTTTGAAATTTCGTATGGAACAACCTATATTTTATCATGTTTTCGGATAGGACATGCAATTTAAAAACCTTTTTATTCTTGACATTTTTTCGATAAACCCATTTTCCAAAATGGCCGCAAACTTGAAAAGTGGAAAACTGTGTATTTTATGGTCTTTAAGGAATGTAGTTGGAATTCCAAGACTTATTTTCTTTGCTAAAAACAAAATTGAAACCATTGTTTTGAAACATTGGTTTGCATTGAATTGTTTTTGAAATTTGAAACAAAATTGTTGAAATGTACTTTTAGAAGTTTTTTTCAAACGGTTGCAGTTTTTATTTATTCAAAGATACAGATATAACTTTTTATATTTTACTATTCATTAAAGACTAATATAAAAAAAAACAAAAAACAAAATTGTAATAACTAAAAGTTTTGTTTATTTTTAGTAAAGTTTACTTATTGGGGTTTTGACAGACCAAACAGAGCTAGGAACAAGTCCAATATTCCATTCTGCCTGGCGGGGTATGGCCCTTGAGGGAACCATTCCGGCATTTGCCTGGAGTGAGGTAAGAAACCATACAAACTTACCTCGGAATGGCCGGCCTGATAATCAGACCTCATATAACAAGATACTAGATACTAAGTTACATAGTATTGACTTACAATGCTGGATAATACTGTACCGTACATAAAGATACTTAAAACTAGATTACATACTACACACTCATAGTACATATTAATAAGAACTTCTTCAATATCTTCATTGTTTTTCTCACTCCCCAGTTTGTGTTCTCTGCTTCCTCTTCTTCTTCCTCAATTCTTTATGTTCTTTAACTTCTGCTACTTCTTGCCTCCTTTGCTAGTTTTTGTTTGTTCCTTGAGTTCTCTGAGCCTTCTTCACACTGTGTAACTCATTCACCTTGTCTACCTTCAATCTTTTTTCGAAGCAACTTCTTTTTTCCTCAATGACCATTGAATCAGAATGTTCCATTTATCTTCTTTGGACAGTTTATGTACTTGAGACATCCTATTAGTCCATTGTATTTCTTGATATTGTATTAATTTCCTTAAAAGAAAACTGTCTCCTTATTATTTTGAATTGTTTGGATCTTATCTTGGTTTGGGATTTTCTTTTCATAAAGAGTTTTCCTCTGTTTATAATGATTTTCAAGCTATCAAACTGCACTAACTTTTGTGTTAATAATTGAATGATGAAATTAAATGTTTCCATGGAAACAAAATTATTTACTGTAAATTTGTTTCCTTTGACAATGACCATGCTTACTTGTTGTGTGTTATATATCACTAGCTGACCCAGCGAACTTCGTATCGCCTAAGTTATAGGTTTCCCCTAAGGCAGACCGATGGAAAGAAAGTACCGTTACGTTTAATTTTCAAGATGATCTCGTTCACATCGCTCAATCACGTCCTGGTTGAAGTTCGTTCGCTACGCTCACTCACCTTTGGGTTGGAGCTCGTTCGCTACGCTCACTCACCTTTAGGTTGGAGCTCGTTCGCTACGTTAACTCGCCTCCAGGTTGAAGTTCGTTCGTTTGCTACGCTCACTCACCTTTGGGTTGGAGCTCGTTCGCTACGCTCACTCACCTTTAGGTTGGAGCTCGTTCGCTGCGCTCACTTGCCTTCAGGTTAGCTCGTTCGCTACGCTAACTCGCCTCCAGGTTGAAGTTCGTTCGCTACGCTCACTCACCTTTTGGTTGCAAATTAGCTGTTGTCATAAATGTAAAAGAAATAATAGTGCTGCACCCTGTTGGTAATCCTTGTAACTTTAATGCTATTGAACATCATAGAACAGAACCAACTTGTTTAATTGAAACAGCTGTTAAGATTCATTAATTCCATTTCTCATAAGGTTAACATGGGAAACTCCAGAGCCACTGGGGCGGAGCCCTTTTAAGAATTTCGAAACGGGAAATAGTTTACGTCCGGTTCGCATACCTACAGAATTTACACACCAAATTTCATAACGATCGGTGAAGTCGTTCCGGAGGAGTTTGCAGACAAACACTGTGACACGAGAATTTTATATATTAGATTGAGTATACACGTATACGAGGGGTCAGAAAGTGCTAATAGTTGTTACTGATTTTGGCAGTAGGTAGTTTGGGACACTGACGGTTAGGTCGCGGTAGTTGGCCAATAGTGCAGTGCGACACTAAGCACCTTTAGATTATTAATTTAGTCAAATTTAGTTTAATTTAGTTAAAATGCATCATAAAACGACAAAACTATGACCAAACAAATTTCATCAACAAAAACAAAATTTTACAACTTTGCAATAAACGCAATAATAAAAAACAACGAAAAAGACTTACCGACATGCCCGAGGTGGGCCGCTGACGCTGCTCTGCAACAGTAACAGTGCTGTTCAGGTAACGGTAGCCCCCATAGAGTGTCTACTCTAGTACGTGTATACTCAATGATATTACAGTGGTTTATTTTCACTGTCAGTGTTGAAATGCTAATTTTCAGACATGAGTGGGAGGTGTACAAAACTATTAAACTTTTAAGTTTTCTCAAAGTCTACGAGTCAATCCAATCCAAAATATACAGGGTGTCTTAGACCCCCCGGCAGGATTCTATATCTCCAATATGAAAGTAAATGGAAACCTAATTGCAGCTGGAACCCCCTATTTTGACACCAAGGAATTCAGCTAAATTATTTTCAAAACCAAAAGAGCACCCTAAAGGGCAGATTTTGGGGGAAGGGGGTGTTTTTTGGGAAATTTTCAAACGTAAAGGGGGGTCATGTTATACCTCATTTTAAAGGTCCTGAGTTTTTTTTATTTTATTTTATTTTTTTTTTTGTAAAAGTTTTAAATTATTTTCATCCCTATTTACAGGGTGTTCAAAAACGTATAAAAATAGACCTTTGAACTACTTTTCACTGCAAAGAGGTGGAATTTTGTGTGGGGTTCAATTTTGATAACACTTTAATTGCTAAATGAGCTTTCAAAAAACTCTGGTTTCAACCCTTTTCCTATCTTTTTACTTTTGCTACGCATTTTCAAACTTTTTGAAGTTTCAAAAGCTGCATGTTATCTCAACAATTTCAAACGTGAACATGGGTTTAATTACAAACCACATTGTAGCCCTTATAATTAGTTACAATTTTTGTATTTAATGATTTTTGGTATCTTTATTGGTTAAAGAGCTGTAGCGAAATTAGTATATTTTAATGTTTTATTAAATAGTATTCAAAGTGTTTGCTGTTGTAAGTGTACACGTCTAGGTCTCAATTAAAACTAATTATGTTTAAAAAAATGAAATAGTACCCAGATTGTTAATCTTGGATGATTAATAAAGGAAAAAAACACAACTGCAAATATTCTTAGTTATTTTACAATTTTATGGCTCTAAATTCATGGATCTAAATTCATGGCTTTTATTGAATAATTTGTTTGAATCAGCAATTATAGCCTACATACTGCTGGGCTTATTGACTTCTACAAATGCTTAAAGTGCCTTCCATTTTTTTCCATGCAAACCCCAACTCGGTTCATAGGCACAGCTGGGCATGTAGCAGCTGGTATTGCTATTTTACACCGCATTCTCCTCTCGTACAGGTCCAGTAAGTTCCTTATAATTTGTTTTATCTGATCAAACGTGTCCAGTTTCACGCACCCGCTCATTGATTTCATGATTATTTTTATTTTATTTACAAGTAGCATTTAAACACAGTTTTCATTTAAAGCACTATTAGAACTTTGGAATTGAAAAATAACTAAGAATATTTGCAGCTGTGTTCTTTCCTTTATTAATATTCCAAGATTAACAATTTGGGAACTGTTTTAATTTTTTAAACTTAATTAGTTTTAATTGAGACCTAAATGTGTACACTTTAAACAGCAAACACTTTGAATACCATTTAATGAAACATTAAAATACACCAATTTTGCTACAGCTCTTTAATCAATAAAGATACCAAAAAACATTAAATACAAAAATTGTAGCAAATTTTAAGGACTACAATGTGGTTTGTAATTAAACCCATGTTGCCATTTTACATTTTTGAGATAACATCTTTTGAAACTTCAAAAAGTGTTAAATTGCGTAACATAAGTAAAAAGATAGGAATAGGGTTGAAACCAGAGTTTTTTGAAAGCTCATTTAGCAATTAAAGTGTTATCAAAATTTGAATCCCCCACGAAATTCCACCTCTTTGCAGTGAAAAGTAGTTCAAAGGTCAATTTTTTGTACGTTTTTGGACACCCTGTAAATAGGGATGAAAATAATTTAAAACTTTTCCCACTAAAATACTCAGTACTCAAGGACCTTTAAAATGAGGTATAACACAACCCCCCTTTACATTTGAAAATTTCCCAAAAACCACCCCCACCCCCCAAAATCTGCCATTTGAGGTGCTTTTTTGGTTTGAAAATAATTTAGCTGAATTCCTTTGGGTCAAAATAGGGGGTTCCAGCTGCAATTAGGTTTCCATTTGCTTTCATATTGGAGATATAGAAGCCAGACGGGTGGTCTGAGACACCCTGTATAGATTAAACTAAAAAAATCAATAATATCCTTGAATTTTTCAGTGATAATAATTATGACATCAAAATATAATTTACTTTTAATTTACGAGATCAAATTCTGATTGAATCATTTTAGACTAATTTAAACAAAATCGTAAGATTCTGGGCCAGTTTTTGATTAAAACAACCAAGTAAAATTCCATACATTGCTGATGTATCTCCATCTGAAAATTTCACTTTGGATATTTAAGTTTTAATTGCTTTCAAGCAAAGTCAACAATATAAAATAATAAAGTGATGTGCAAAATGTGCATCAATGATTAAATTAAAGACATTAAAAGCCAAATGCCATCAACAGTAGAAAAAGGACCTGTAACTAAAAAATAATAGCATAATGATTCCTATAAGTTAAGTTTCTTAATATTTGAGGCTCTTTACCTGAATTGATTCTGGTCTTTTCTTCTGACATGCGTTGATTGCATTCGTGGAATTCCGCAAGTTTCCGCAGAAACCGTTGTTCTGCCTCCATATCATCCCTTACATCCGTAAACAAGTGGTCCATCTGTAGGGATCGATGTGCAGAGAAACTTAAAATAGTCATCAATTAAAGACAACAATCTTCTCGCTTTAACTCGCGATTTTCCACAAAAGAAGCTATTTGAATCCTGACAGACCTACAACCACTTGAACTGCTTTTCCTGAAATTAAGAAGTACTGTGGTATCCGTTACGCTTACTTTAAGTAACCTTCTTTGTAAAACCTCACAATCCTCCAAGATTATGAGATTTACTCATGTATAACACAAGAACTGCTAACAACTTATCCACTTGTCCACCATCTTGCACTAACTAACTGATGAGAAACCAAGCAAAGTCAGAAGTAAGCTTTACAAACTACTTTCAAACCGCCTTGAGGATAACAGAGGAAAATTGCTTCAAGAAGGAAACCTGGCAAAGGCTCTTAAAATAACTTAATTTGAGAGCTATTCTAATTACAGAATATCCTGATTCAACAAAATATAGCTTACCTTCTGTTTTCTGAAGTACTGGATTAGCTTGGATGTCAAGAAGAGAGTTCTCTTTCTCAAAGTTTGATGTTCAGTTCTTAACTTCATCAAGCTCTCGAACTGTTGTGCCTTTAAAGCATTTTCCTCTGCTTGTTTGATTTCTTCGGATCTATAAACAGTTGCAGAAACATTCCTTTAGCATAAATTCTGGAATTGCAAAATCATCCATGATCTTTCTTAGATCTTCTATCATGTTACTTATAAAATCTAATCAAATTCTTCATTCACTCATTACAATCTTGGACAATGCACAAAGTACAAGGACTGGAGTGTCATCACAATAATAACTTAACCCAATATATAACTAATAAGTAAACATAAGTTAATATCAGAAAAGACCTTATATGATTCAGCAATTTAAAAATATTACAACAGAACAGATTATTTACCCCAGTTCTTCTTTTTTACAAGATTAACATTTACATTGTAAGTCATAAATCTCTCTATGATTAGAGTTTTTAAAGAAAAAAGCTAATTTATCTTCTTACACATGACTTCCGACATGTGTCCTTACACATGTTCTTACTATACTCCGTTCACAAAATTTAGGCGGTTTGAGCTGAGGCGATTCCATCCCCTCCGCCGCACCTTAACTTTGAAACTACAGCCTACAATTGATCAGCTGATATATAGTAACATATTTTTTGTGGAATAAATGATTTTTGATTGATAGATCAAGCGAAAAAAAGTGGTGGGGGAACCCAGGAAACATTCCCCTTATACCGCCTAGATTTTGTGAACAGACTATAGTACTATAATTTGTGTATATTTACATTCACTAAACCCCAACCAAATGTCCTACTAATTATCTGAGCAAAGGGAATAACTTACAAACTTCAGTTTCTCACGATGAGAACTTTTTCTTTGGAAGACAACTCTAGAACGGACGATTTTTTATTACTATTCAAAATGATTATACCTACTCAAAAATAGAATAATAAATATGTTCAAACCTACGTAACAGTTATGGTTTCTTCTTCATCTCCCTGGTCTTCATCTTCTTTTTCTTCATCTTCTTTATCTTCATCTTCTAAAAATAAAAGCCATGTTATTGCCAAACTTTTAAGTAAATAAATTTAACCATGGTCTTTAAGGAAGTATGTTTAATCTTACAGTTTAAAAATCCAAAAAACAATTTTGGAAACTTGAACGGTAAGAACTAAATCATCATCATGGATGGATAACTACACAGGTGTACTTTTACTAAAATATGAAAGAATAAAGATGAGTATATAGGATGGGTGAAGAGATTTGTTTAACTTTGTTCGTAATTAGGACCAGATGATCCTTTAGTCTGAACCATGTATTGAAAGCACAATGTCAATCACAAATCAAAAAGTCAGTTGCGGTACAGTACTGCATTATGTAGTTTCAGATATTTCATCATAGTCAGTCCATAATTGGCCATCAAGTTACTTTCAAATACTTTTCAAAATTTTTTTCAATAATTCCTTTTTACTTTCAAGTTTCAGTCCCATAGTGTTATTATGAACTAGGAGTATGGAAGGTGACTTATCTAAAATCAAGTCATTCTTCAAGTTGCTGATGGAAATTATACAAACCAATATCATCTTTTGAATATCAATAATGCCAAAATCATAATGTAATTATATAATATTTGGTATTACTTTACTACTGAAACTTTGTAACTGAGTGCTATATTTTATCTTATGCAAGTGAGGGTTGCCTTTCAGTGAAGAAATAATGGAAGTTTTATCCACTTTACAATGTGAGTTTATTGTAAAACAAACTGTAAATGAAAACTGATTGGTCTCAGGCAAAGAATTGTGAAGTTGATATACATAGAAGTGAAAAAAATTAATTTTTAAATTTACATTCCTCCACTCACCTATTTTGTTCTCTTCTGAAGCTGCTGTACTCCGAGTAGTTGTTGTTGACTCCCTTTTTTCTATAATCTTCTTCTTTCTTCTTCGCAGTTTCTTTATCTCATTACCATCAGTCGAGTCTTCATCTTCTCCTGTTAATAGATGTTTTTAAGCATTTCTATTGGAATTATACTTTTTTATTTAATGCCATTCATATCATAGTATGGAAGTAGAAATTGAATAGCTTAGTTATCACAACATCAAAGTACTGTAAACTTTTAAGAGTCGGCAGGAGTCAATAATTTTGCATTGTTGTTGACCGTCAGATGCCAGGCGAAACAGTGGTTGTCCGAGCACTGATCAGGAATAAAATGCGTTCACGTTGAAGCATATTAATCATACACCGTAATCTTAATTACCAAGCATAAAATTGTAGGCTATGTGATTCTTAAATATATTTTCTGTGTGAATTGCTTTTCGGATTTTTAAAATTTTTGTTTTAGAGGTTGAAAAAATCACAGTTTTTGACAAAATGATTACAATTAAAATGAACAAAAAAATAGCAAAAAAATTCTGCCGTTATGGGTAGAAAATCCAAGATGGCCGGCAGTCGTGCCGACTCTTAACGGGTTGATTAGGTTAGTATTACGAATACTTCAACTATTAACGATATGTATGCAAATTACTACAAACTCATTACAGTTTCTTTACTATAGGAAAACTATAAAAGTAATTCCTAATAATACTGTTTATTCAATGAAAAATTCTGAAATATTTCCATTGCAAAGATGCATATGATGATAAATTAATCTGTATGGTTGCCTTACCTTCTTTTACTTTTTCTATTTTAATTTTTCTTCTCCTTCTTGGTTTCTCAGTTTGTTGTTCATCTACATCTTCTTCTTTTCCAGCTTCTTCCAACGTTTCTTCATCTTCTACTTCTTCTTCCTCTTCAATCTCTTCCTCCTCCTCTACTTCCTCGTCTCCAACTTCCTCGACTTCTTTTTCATCCACTTCCTTTTCATCTGGCTCGTCTAATTCATTGACTTTCACTGAATCTGCTCTGAGCACAGAGACCAATCTTTTTTGTCTAACAACAACTTTCTCTCCTGCCTCGTTTACAATTTCCTCGTCATAGTTTTCAATCACATCCTCATATAAGGTCGCTTTTCGTGTAGACTTTCTCAATGGTATTTTTACTATTTTTGTTTTCTTTACCAAAACCAACTCCCCACTTTCATTCTCTTCTTCTGATTCATATTCCTCTTCTCTTTCTATGTAACTCAATCTTTTAATTTTCCTCTTTACAATTTTTTTTTCACCATTTTCATCTTCTATCTCCTCTTCATACTCTTCAAACTCATCTTCTTCTAATGTTTGTTCAAGTGTTTCTGCATGCTTGGGAACATTGATGATTCTTTTTTTCGTGACAGTTCTCACTTCCCCATCTTCCTCAATTTCTTCTTCATATTCCTCCTCTACCTCTTCTTCCTCTATATTAACTTTTGTTTTATTCTCTTCATACCTGGGTACTTTTACAGTTCTCCTTTTGGTAACAGTTTTCAGCTCCCCGTCTTCTTCTATTTCTTCTTCATACTCCTCCTCTACTTCCTCAAAATCTCTATCTGAACAGATAAATCAAATTTTAAAATCATTTCCTGGTATGTAAAACAAATTTATTTGCATCTTTTAACAAAATATAAGCTAAATACAATTAATAATGCAGTACAGTAGTATTTTTCATGTCTATTTTGAAATTGACATTTATTCTAAACAATATATCATTTTAGAAAAATGTTAATTAATGTATATGAATTGTATGACAGAATATTAAATGTTACAAATATTACTTTCTCCATTTATATCATCAAAGAAATAAAAACTTAATTAAAAAACCTTGCAACTATGACCATTTTACACAGCTTGTATAAAATCATATATTAGGATTATACCACTTGTACAATTTACTATAAATCGGGATACTATCCCAGCGCCTGCTCATACACTAAGTTTATATGAGAAAAAAATACTTTTGGGCCTACTGGAGTTAAATTTTACGGTAAACTACCTGATTACAGAAAAAAAGATTATTTAAATTTTAAAAACTTTGAAGTGCTGTAATTTGGGACAATCAAGTAACTCAATTTTACTTATAAATAAATCGTTTAGTTACCTTGATCAGTTCCCATGCAATTACCATTTAAAATCCCGGCATTCTTTTGTAAACACCCTCAGGGTGATCAACTCAAGGAGGCCACTATTGGGATATCGGAAAAGGTAAGAATTAGAGAAAACTTTAAATGGAAGACATTCCTTCCTTTATTTTTTTTTTTTGGCAGTTAAAAATATGAATTCAGTTTTTCAAAATCTTCAAATATCAATTATTTAAGATGGGGACGCCACTATTTGCTTATTTGAACCCAAATATGAGTGTAGGATGAGTGGTACGAACTTGTAGTCTTGTTAGTGACTAAGGCTAAGTGACAAGCTTCTTGCTCTGATAAGATGAAGATTCGCTGGATTTTGAAAGGGAACAAAAGTATTTCCACAAAAGTCTAGAAGTTTACTGTTTAAAATAAGTTTGTAATAATTTACTCACCAGCTTCTTCTGAAGACAACTGTGCAGGTTCCAAAACACTTAGTGGTTGATCAAGCTCACTTTCTTTTCCATCCAAAACCTCCAGTGCCTGTGACTGTATTTCAACCTCCTCATCCAAGATCAGCTCATTTCCTCCAACTTTCGAAGATTTTGATTTTGTTGATCCTACGTCCTTTGAAGATTTTGATTTTATTGATCCTACGTCCTTTAAAGATTTTAAGGATTCTGCATCATGTACAATAGACATCTTTTTTGATCCAGATTCTTTCATTATAGAAGATCTCCTAGTTTCAAGTTTTGAGAGTGAAGGTCTCTTCTCTTCAACAGTACCATCCTTTGTCAAGGTTTTAGCAGGAGCATCTCCTTCCTGACTCGTGTCGTCCATTCTTAATATATTTTTAATGTTTCAATTCTTTTTTTATATCTACAAAGTACCAATTTACATTTATATACTGTAGGTTATGGTTGGTATAATTTAATACCAAACTATTGTTAGTCCAACCATTTATTTATAATGTTATCAAACCTACACTTTGTTTTTTATATCCCACCTTCACATCCTAGGACGCTAGGTCTTGAACTGTTTTACACATTACTTCAGGCTAGTCCTAGAGGGTCACAGCATTATCACATATGAATAAAATCCATTGGGTTACGGGATTTGAACCCGGGACCTAAGGCTCTGAAGCCCTGTGTTACCAATAGCCTAGCTCACTCCCCGATCAAACCTACATTTATTGTTAACATAAATTATCATCAATAGAGTCTCGAATACTTGAATTACAGTACAAAATTAGTGCCACATTGGTCCCCTTTTAGTACAGATAAGTGTTATAGAAAATTATAGGTATGAATTCATACCACTTTGAATATGGGTACTTTGCATTTAGCATCATAGGGAGGGAGCTATGGCATAAAGTACTTTCTTACATACTTTAATAATTTATGAGTTATAAGAAAATCTATATAAAGTGGTCTAAAATAAGTTAGTGTTGACTAGAAATAAAAAAATAAAATATCACCTGCCTACACCTTAAGTGAAGATATTGATAAGTACGTAGCACTGCAACTTAAAAGCAACACTCAACATACCTTGAATTTCATGAATTGAAATTATCCTTATGGATCAAACATCTACAAGCACAGGAGGTGGATTAATATTTTCAGCAAATCTTACTAGTACCCATCTTACCCTGTTTACACTTTCAATTTGAAATTCAATATTCAAATAAAATGTACTTAGCAAAATAAACAAAGACTTAATATTATGTAGAAGTAAACATATATCACAATCACATGTTGCTAAATCTTCCTGAGTCAATAAGCTGTAAACAGTTGCTTAGCAACAGTTTACAGAGTATTAGCTGTAGAGTTACTGTTACTGTGTCATTGACTAGGTACTGTTATATAGCGGATGGAAAATAACTATTTCTTAAAAAATGTACTCCATTTAAAATGCATTGTGATTGAAAAAAGGTCATCTTTGTTTAAATTAAACATTCGTGATTACAAAATATTGTCATTTTTATTCTATTTTTAATTCTCTTGATCAGAGTGCATGAAGTTTGTTTACTAATCTACAAATTTAGATAGAAAAATCTGTACATCACATATTTTTGGTCAAGTTTTCGACCACTGGACAACCTCTAGTTTATCTAAATTTGTACAGTCGGGACCACAAGAGTCTGCAGTTGGCGGCAGCCAATCACAAGACAAGGCTAGTGTGATGTTGCCATATCACCTGTTGACGACACTAATCAAAATACTAAACAATATTTTCAAATCAGCTGGTATTATTAGATTTGGCAACACCTCCCATTGCCTCCTTCAAAGTCACGTGGTAAATAGGCTCCTACCTCAACTGCAGACTTTCGTGGGACTGTAGATTAGTAAACAAACTTCATGCACTTACATGTTTAATGTAAACAAAGCTGACGTTTTTCAATCCCAATGCATTTTAAATGGAAAATACTTTATGTTATTTCTCATTTTCTGGTAGATTTGGACATAATCTGGTATTTTTCCTGACCCCCTGAGACCAAGTTCTTTAATTTGAGCTCTCTTTCATCATCTTGCGAGCTGTCAAACTTTCACAATTTTGATTTAAAAAAATCTCTTACAGAATTAATAATACAGTATAGATAATTCTTCGGCTGCAGCAAAACCTTCAGACTAAGCGAATTGCCATTTGGATAGTTTCATTTTCGCTCAAATATTTCTCTAAAATGTCAGATTTATTCCTGTTTTAAATCAAATTAGGTTTGGTGGTACAGGGGAGGTAATAAAGTCTAGTGTGCTTTAGTAAAATGTCAATAGATTAGTATAAAATGAAAAAAATACCAAATTTGATCAAAATGTGTCTGTTAAGAAGCAAACTACAACAGTTTATACTCTCCATAAAAATAATGTAGGAGCTTTTTATTTTCAGTTTTTTTTTAACTTTTATCCATAACTATTTAGCACAGCGCTTGAATATACTTAATTATTTGTATTTTGAACTGTACGAAATATTTTTCAATTAAACTGCAAAGTTGTTTTTTTGTTTTGAGGGTCAAAAATGGGAAAACCCCATTTTCACCCCGTTCCCATGGTTCGATTTTGATGGTTAGAATGAGTTCAAGTGTATTAAGCCTGACACGTCCATGCCAAATTTAGCAGAATCGGACCAAAATTACTCAAGTTGTCGCTTCCACAGACACAGACACACATATGTATAAAGCCTATATCCAAAATTTAAGGATACGGTTCAATCCAAAGCTGAGTTGAATCAAGTTAAATCATCAAATGAGCTGTTTTAACACAACAGGGCAAAGGCTTAATCAAAGTAAAGTGGTATATGATAATGGAAGTCTAAAAAAATTTCACATACTTGACTGAGCAACAAAGGTTGTCGAACAAGTACCTAAAGTCTAAGTAGTCTTTCTAAAGAGTCTTAGGGATTGCTCAATTCTAGATCAAGATGCCATTTGTCATTTGGATACCAATTAACGACGCTATCTAACAAAAGATGGACATTAGATAGTAACAAACCCAGGGTTTGAACATACTTAAAGGTTCCCTTAAAAAAAAAATTATACAATAAAAGTTGCTGCGTAAATTGTCTATTGTTAAATAAAAACTTTAAAAAAATCTGACAAAAAACTTTTATAATTCAAAAATTACGAGTTAGTTAAAAACCAGTAAGAAAGGAATAACAAAGGTAATTGATTAATCAACAAATTAATACTAATAAACAATTTATTTAATAACACAATACTTTTGGTGTCTTAAAATGGTAGATACATTAAGATTGGACAGTACAAATGTGTAATGGCACTTCATGTGGTATATACAGTGCTTATATACATGATTGAGAGTAGATAAACAATAACAGTTGTTTGTTCCAATAACAAGAGCTTTCAAATAAACAACCAAAAAGTATAAAGATACCATTCCACTGATAATAAATAACAACAGTATGAAATAACAACCACATGTGTTGATCATAAAGATGTGATTTTTATAATTTAATTGAACAAAATTATTAAATGAGTATTTTTCACATGTTTTAATGAAATAGATACTGTACTGATACCGTTTTTAGGTTAGATACAACTTTTTTAATTTTTACCTCAATTTGTCTAACTGTTAAGTTAATTTCTTAATCTTTTTTCAAAATGTTACTAACTTTGTTAATTGTTACTAACATTACTAATAATGTTTAAGAAAAATTTACCAGGATTTTTCGGTAAGGAAACTTAAATAGATACATAACATACATACATCTGTTCACATACATCTTACAATATAATGATACTTAGTAGAAACATTCACATGATTTACAAATGGGAAATGTGGTAACACAGTATTATGGAAAGAAAATTACCATGAGATAAATAATTCACATTATTAAATTAAAAAGAAGTATAGCCTATGAGTTTAATTGATTTATTATGTATTCAAAGGTATATTTTCAGGAAGGTAATAAAAGAAACCCAAAGTTATAAGCTAAATACAGGTTCATTATTATTCTTTACCGGTATATTTTACTTCGTAGATATAACATTTTATTGCCATATAATTGGACTCCACTACTCCATGTTTCCTCTTGTTGTATCAAATGTTAAACTTGTGGACAATAGTGTCATCATTGCATGATGAATCAGTTAATTAAAAAAACATATAATAAGAAAACATTTTTGAAAACAATAACAATATTGAAATTAAATAACAATCAATAGATATAACAATAAATTAAATTTCACCAAGATTATTTGTTTGATTTTCAATAACAACCTTACAATAAATCGTTCATGTTTATAGGAAAAAAGTAAAGAACAGGAAGATATACAAAATAATATAAACATGTGTACAATAATTTGCAATAAAATAATCTCATAAATTCTACCAACAAAGATATTATGATAAAACAATAACTTCTTATACTATACTAAAATTAATCTCTTCTTTTATAATTGACAGTCCCTTTCGATTGCACGAATAAACCTAACTTAAGTACATTTAAAGCAGTCAGTGCTACCTATAAGCAGTCCATTCTACCAACCTAAGCTTCTAGTGGAAAATAACTAACCCTGATGTATATTTAATAGTCTTATCCCTAGCAGTCATGATAATAGACAAGAAACGTCAAATTGTTATAAAATCTTTGTATACCTAAAACTGTGTTGTTTTTTAAATTCATAAGTTTATAACAGATTTTTATAATACGAGTTTAAAGTAAAAAAAATAAATTACCATATAGTTTAACATATGATAACAATTTTAATTTATAAATATACATATTTTAAAATACATGCATAGTTTAAATACTTATAAAGTTTATATTACACATAATTTAAATTAGTAACATTCTCTACTAATAGATTATTATTCTAGGTACAATTTAAGTGACTTAGCAATTCACGTAAGACTACTTTACAACCTTAACAACATAGTTGGCTTTACAGTTTACCATTATGCTCGCATTTCATCATTTCCAGGTGAAAAATACTATACACTTAAAACACTTTAAAGTGCTATATAAAATACAAGTATTTACTTCACTTAGAGAGGAAGATAAATTTTCATCTATCCTGAATAACACAGTTTAGACTACAAAAATAACGTTCTAACGGAGACGGTTACAAACTACTGACTAGGATGGCTCGCTACTATCTCAGGAACTCGAGTGGAACGAAACACTTTTCGGGCGCGGCCGCGGTGTCTTGACACATGTGCGCGCGCCAACCTGTACACACAAAACACAACAATAGTAGTCATACAAGAAAAATTAGCAGGAAGTACCAATACATTTGATCAAACTGACGATTTTTGTTAAAGAAACAATCGTTACCACAATCATTATTAATGCACGTGATTGGAACTTGAGATATTATTGGGAAGTGATAAAAGTCCATCACAATTGTTAGTAAAACGTTTTGGGGTTTGGAATCTGAGAAAGTACCTAAAACATGAAAGATCATTACATAAACTCAGACAATGCTGGAATATCAACAACCATACAGGGACTGAATACTAGCATACTAGTCAAAAAATCCTGACAGTAAACAACAATTAGTAAAAATATATGGTAGGCAAAACACATCAGACACGTTTGCACACACATATTTCTTATTGTTTTTCAATCTTTACAGATTACTGACAATGTCATGTAACAGGTAAACTTACAGCTGAGTCAATATACAGTAGACCCCCTCTTAACCGACCTCGTATTAACTGATAATCAGATTATCCGTCTTCGATCGTAAAATAATACAGTTTGTTTTAACCGTCCTTCCTTTGAGAGCAGTTCGGTTTAACCGCCGCTTTCTAGGAATATCGGCATTTCCGCTCCCACGCTGGGCGATGAGAACTGAACCATACGCTTTTCTTCACAGGATATGACTAAGAATAAGTTATTTTGTATTGATCACAAAAAATCCAGAATATTGTCAGTTTGCTATCTTTGCGGAAAATTTATAACATTGTAAAGTGTGTTACGATTTTGAGAACTGATTATCTTATCGCTGGAGTAAACAAACAACACAACTTGTAGGGAGGGCAGGGAAGGGGGGTTAACTCAAAGGTCAAGATAGTTTTTGTGCCTCGAGCCTCCAGTGAGAGGCTATAAATAAACGGTACTTAAGTACCATACGGAGGCCACCCTTATACAGCGCACTGCAGTGGTTATGCTAGGCTGGGTTATCTTAAATAGAAAGTATGACTCTTCTGGTATCGTTCGATTCATAACGAAACGAGGAAAGTCCTACAAATTATATATGATAACAACCTAACCTAACCGCCGCAGCGCGCTGTAAAATATGTGGCCTCCGTATAATACCGAAGTACCAAATAAACATCCTGTCTTGTAACAAAATGGTTGCTTGTATCTTTAGTTTCGGCAAAAGGTTCTGTACTGTATGGATTTGGAAAGCATCAATTAATACATTACAGTACTAAAGTTATTAAAATAGGAATTTTTATTGACTCTTGCTTATTACTATATTTATTCCACTGAAAGTAGGCCTATTTGGCTTAACCGTGTTGTGTGTTTATTTGGGACTTTTCTATCAATACCAACAAGGAGATAAAGAGTAGTTTATTTTATAAATAATGCAAGTATGACTTCAAAATAATGATTATATAATTCCAAATGAATAGCACTTCATTATGTTATGATTTTCATTTTAGGGATTGCCCGTTTTAACCGACCTTTTGAGTTATCCGACCTAGGTCCGGTCCCATTAGGGTCGGTTAAAAGGGGGTCTACTGTAGTGACAATTTTATAACTAAACAAAAAGAAACATACTAATATTGTGATTCTCCTACTTGCACACCTGAGGACGGAATCAGATTCCTGAATGTTGTGAAACCTTTTTTTTCCTAATGGGGATTGGAAATGTTTGCAATGATCCCTAAAATATTATAAACTTGCCATGAACTTTAAACAGAGAGCTCTTAATTGAATTGCCTAAAAAACAAATTTTCCCACAGTTCAACCACAGGAGAAATTAATCAGAGAATTTACCCAGCAAAGTAACCAACCTGTTCTCAGGTGATGTTAAAGACAGGTCCGATCCTCAGGTAGAACCTACGCAGGACTGAGCGCAGTTCTGGCTTTAGGTCGAAACACATCAGTTCACACAACAGGGCGTAGTAGCTGGATGCGTGAGCGGCAAACTGAAACAAAGAAACACGTCAGTTCACACAACAGTGTTGTTAAACAAGAAGTTAAAAAAAGTTAATTGTTACAATACCTTCAACAAATTAAGTCCAGAAAAAGTTGAACAAAAAGAAACTTCAAAATTCCAACTACTTACGTACATTTGTGGTTATTGAAGACCGTCATTGTGAGTTCAAAACTTAAATAGACCAAGATCTACTGCAATTGTGATTGAAAATTTGGTAGTTAGAAGAAAAGAAATGCAAATTGACTTTTAAATATATTTAAAATTGAATTATTCAGCAAACTTCCTTGTAATAGGGTTCTTTAGCAAAATAGGGGGTGGAAGAGTGATGGTAAAACTAATGAAACAATTTGGTAAAATCATAAATTTTTAATTTACATGTGATTTGGTCTCTCACCATAAAATATCTCATGATTTTATCAGATTTTTTTGTGAGACAATAGGGTTAAATTTAACTTAGTAGAGGTAAGTAACCACCTCATCCAAATTCAAGGAAAAGGGTAAAAAGTACGTTTAATCATCAAATAGGTTTTAAAAATTAATTAATTAGGTTTACAGTATAGGAGATGTAGTTTTTGATCAAACTATAAATTATGATCAACTGTAGAAACTACAGTAGACTCCCTTTTATCCGGACTCCTCTGGACCGAGGCCAGTCCAGATAACGGTTTTTCCGGTTAAACCAACATCCCCAAAAACCCAGTAAAACGGACCGTTTAAATGCACACTGTATACAGTTTTTGACTTAAATTTAGGAGAGCATTGTATTTAGACACGTGATCACTGGTCTCAAAAACTTTCCCACGAGAACAGTCGTCTCAGTACCGCCCACTTCCTGCTGATCTAGTCCGGTTAAACCGATGTGCTGATAAACATTTTCCGGTTAAAGAGATGTCATTTCCACCGAGTGTAGTCCGATTAAACCGATGTCCGGATTAGAGGGAGTCTACTGTATATATTTTTCTTTGCACGATTTATATCAGAATAATATCAAGCAATTAGCTTCACTTTATTTTAGTCAAATGTGATGTTTTGATCTGATCAATAATATTTACTTACTGAGTACAATTTTTTTTAAATTTATTTTGTGATGGACTTGGTGGTCTTTACTCACTCTGTCGTCAGACATTTTCATTATCCTGGTGAGGATGAGCAGCAAGATGCAAGTCCAAGCTTCTCTGTGGGCCTCTGATTGTAGTCCTAGGAAATACTCCAGAGCCTGGACAACCAATGGAATACTGTCAATTCTGTCATTTCATTTTGTTTACTATAACTATAATTATCAACGATGGTCAGAGTCAACCTACAAGACAATGACAATGATTGTCAAACACATTGCATTAAATAATTTAGTTTTATTTGATCATTCAATAATTGATTTAAAGAGCTAGGGCAGTTAAAAGGAAAGTTAGAGAACATTAAATTAAATTGAAACAACTCTACATAACATTAACAAATCAGAGCTGGGATTAGAGTCTAACACTTGAAAGCAATGAGAAGACATGAAATAATGTAGATGAAGTATGGAAGAGATCAAGAGATAAAAATAATTGTGATATTTGGCAAGGAATTAACAGTTATAAATAACCAAGAGGAGACAAAAGAAGTGAGCTGTTTAGTGTTTAGAGATAAAAAGTAGCAGAGGTAAAAGGTGTTAAAGGTACAAAGGTCCATTAGGTAAAAAATCAATATTTAAAAAGAAATAAATACAAAATTAATTTGAAAGAGTGTGTAACACATTAAAGAAGAACTATAGTAAAAATATAATTTACAAAAATAATCTGTACCGTCCAACAGAAGTAATTAAAATAATAGCAGCCAATCACACAACAATTGAGTTTATAAACCAGAATATCACAATTTGGATAATAGATTGATAAGTAAACATAGGAATTTAAAGGTATTTTAGGGCACAACTCTTTGGTAAAATCGTTAAGTCAACTTTTAACATGAAAAACGAGTTTACCAAATTTCAGTCTTCTAGTTAGCCGGGAAGTAGGGGAATCAGTGATGTAAGAGTGAGTGACTGTTTTGACTTTAATATGCATAGATGTTGAAACCACATAATGAATCTCACTCACTTCTTTGCACACAGCAATGAGTCTTCCTTGCACTGCAGCCCAAGCGTTTCTTCTGTTCTCGTCTCCGGCCATCTTGAACAGAACTCTCAGCACACAAGCGAGACTCTGCACTTCTTGTTGTAGCAGATTAGGTTTGGCACTACCTTTAAAACCTGGATAAACGACAGGTTATAACCTTTGACAAATTACAATTTTATACACAGGGTGTTTTTTTAACACAACCTAAATCATTAGTACCATGAGACACTGTAATAGGACAAAACAAGATCACAAGTTGGTACCGGTAGTCCTGTATGAATTACTTCATTGCGGATCAGCTGATAGCCTATGTTTTGCTATATTGTTGCCTACACAGTTTAAGTGTTATAGGGAATGTATTTTAAATTAAACAAAATCTAATCTTGAAATTCAGAACTAAAATAAGGTAACCCTATTTTTTCGGGGTCTTCCGCACCGGTAATCAATATTTCAGGGTCGGCCCAAGAGCGTTAAAGCCAGAGATGAATTTAGGGTCAAACTCAGGGAGGGTCGAGCTGAACTGTGCTTTAATTTTTGCAATTGGATTTTGACTAATTGATTGATGATTTACACTTTACCACAGAAGACCTCATTACATATTGACCTTGGAAGATGTTCATGATTTCCTTTTGCCCGCAGAATATGTTCTTGATTTTGCGCTGTGACCACAAAAGACGTTCACCTAGACTGCAAAGACGTTCACCAAGACTGCAGAAGATGTCCACAAGTTCGCCGCTACCGCGGAAGTCGTTCATGGATTCGATATGGCCTCAAAAGATGTTCTAGATTTCTTTCACCTTAATGGTGGTCACGATTTCACCAAGCCATAGAAAATGTTCTCAATTAAGTCATGACCGCGGAAACGTTCTTGATTTTGACATGTCAATTGATGTTCTGATTTTGTTGTGACCGCAAAGTTTGTTCACAATTTCATCGCACTATGAAGGAGATCATGTAGAATAACATGTAAGCTGATCGTAGGATTTTAATTATTATTTGAAAACAAATCAATAGCATACTGTATTACTTTCCAAAGCACCGGATTTTGGTCTGAAACCTGAGAGCAAAATTGTTTAATCTTAACTTTCTTGTTACTTACAATAATATAATTGCAAAATCAGATGAAACTCACCAGCTTTCCACAGTATGTTTCGTTGTTCATGGTTGGAGTTGAACTCCTTGGCAAACCGATGACTCTGCATGAGACAGTCTGTTAGTTGCAGCAGATGAGTGGAGCTGAGGTTGCCATACATGCCTTGCTCTTCTCTCTGTTGCTCTGACAAGCTAGCGTCCTCCCAGTCTAGGACGTCAGCCTATACAACAACAAGCAAATCTGATACTTTGAAAGATGCTATGATCTTTAGTGGACCTTGATTAAAAACAGCCACACAAGAGGATCCAGAAATTGACAACACCCTCTGTGGGAAGTTTATCTCAACTACGTTGATCTTTATTCCAAATCTGGCCACAACTTTAATATAGGAAAGGAATGCCTGATATTATCCATAGTCAAATGTAATAATCTCATTTTTTGGACACAATATGAGAGTTTATACCTGAGCCAAAGCCAGATTCTCCTGGTCCTCTTTCCTGGATGTGGCTGGGTAGAAGATGATGTTGTCTATGGTCTGTATCAGCTCCAACTGCACCACACACTTTATCAGCAGTCCGGTGAACATTGACCCCATCTGTCAACAAGAGTTTACTGATCTGAGGACTTCTCCATCATCGTTCTTGCATAAAATGCTGTGTTTTAAGGTCGATTCACACATATCAGTCTAGTTATAGTTCTGTTACAGTTTTTCAGCCAGTCTTCCATCACTAATATTTACGGAGATGTTACAGTCAAGAATTTTAAATTAAAACACAATATTCTATCAAATTAAATTTTTATAGTCAATCTTGTTGATTGTTACAAACAGTACTCAAAATATAAACACAATTATTTAAATAACAAAACCACTATTTTCTAACCTCAAACACAACTGCCAGGCGTCCTAACAATCCAAAAATATCGGTGGAAAGAAATCTGAAATCGACTGATGGACGCCGGCAGAGCAACTGACAGACCTGTGGCGGATGAGTGTAGATAGCACAATGGAGAACCCATTTAAGAATATTTTTGTTGACTGTGACATGACTGATGTGACTGACCTGTGACGTGCCGTAACTGATATGTGTGAATCAACCTTTTTAGTCTCATGAAACAAATTTACTCACACTTGGTTGACCCAATTTGAGCTTCAAAGAGACCACTACAGTATAGTGATCCGCGGATGTATCAACAATTAGTTACAGCAGAAAATGCTAATTTAGACTTAGGCTATCAACATATTTATATATTAATATACTTCACTTTCAACATTTTTTGTGTTTTTATTTGTAGTAGTTGAATAGAAGTATTTCATATTATGTATCAATATCTTATAACATCTCCAAAATATAAAGTCTTGAGACAATGAACAATGTCCATAAAATACAATACACTATCTACTGGTGTAGATAAATTTATTCTCAGTATTCTCACTATAATTTACACTATACGAAATCTATTCTACGACTGGTAGGCCTAATTGATTCTCAAAACTGTTTACGACAGAATCACATTGTTGTGATCGTCTACTGCAGCCCTGACTACATCGTTTCGTTATCTTTTCATGTGATATATATATCTTGAGATTCCAACCAAACTAATCAAAACTTTTGGAACTTAAATAACCTTAATTATATTACATATAAAGTTTGCCTAGAACAAATGTATAGGCTGTGTGCGTGATATGTAATAGGTAATACCTGACCTCCTAATACAAATGTAGACATCCCATGTAATTAATTAATGATTCCAAGAAGCAAACCAGTTGAATGAAAACCTTGAAATTTGAGACATACCTTTTGAAGAGCAATATCATCTGATGTGATGCTGTTGTTGCTGTGAACACTGAATGTGCTGTTGGATCTTTTGAGAATACCAGGCCGAACATTCTCTATCTGAAATCAAACATTGTAAAGCATTTAAAAATAAAAACAATGGAATATAGATAGTATCAACATATTACATGCAGTTTTTGCATTAAATTAAGCCGTTTAATCCAGCTACTGGTACTAAATCTTTATTTGGAAATTCAACATTTAATTTTAAATATTTGTATAGGTAAAAATGTTTCAGACAAGCGAGTCATCTTCTACCAGGGCCATGATTTGTGTTTTTTGGGATACAAAATGTTCATTTCACATTTCAAAAGCAAACTTGAATGACTGATTACAAACTTCAAAATAAAACTTAAACTGCTTGAATAACATCCACTTGACCCTGACTGAGTTGAAAAAAATTAAGAAGAGGACAAATATAGTAGCCTTATCCTTTACTCTTATATCGAGCAATGTTGGCTTGTATGTATGTATATGTATGCTTGTATGTATGTATATGTATGCTTGTATGCTTGCTTGCACAAAGATCTCGAAAACAACTTCGGCGATTTCCTTCGTTGTAAATAATTTATTTCTGGCCTAAAAATATGTTTAATGCAGTTAAAACTGCCAAAAATTTAATTACATACAAAAATGAAATTGAAAGTTAACACTTTTTAACATTGGCCTTATGGGTTGGTAAGTAACCATGATGGTTGAACAAAATAACAAGGAAAAAGTAAACAAAAGACTAGTAAGTTGAGATTTTCTTCCCAACAGAAAAACACCACCCACCACCTTGAGCGAACACCATTACCGCAACGATACGTTGCAGAGCCATCGGTCTCGGTGGTGTAGTGGATAGCTCACCGGGCTGATGTTCTGAAGGTAACCAGTTCAAAACTCAACGGAGGCACTAACTTTTTATTTCAATTTTTATCAGCAAGTTTGGTTGGGTTATGACAGTTTAATTTCATAATAAAAAATTATATAATTGAATTTGAGGTATTTATAATTTTATTTTATGAACAGAACTTTTTTTTTATTGGTAACCCTTCATTAGATTTTTTTATTATCAGCAAGTTTGGTTAGTTTGGATAGGTTATGACAGTTTAATTTTATAATTAAAAAATTATAAAATTGAATTTGAGGCATTTCAAATTTTCTTTTATAAACATAACTATTTTTTTCGTTTCGTAAACCTTCATTCGATTTTTAGATTATCAGCATGTTTGGTTAGTTTGGTTAGGTTATGACAGTTATATTAAATTAAATTAAAATTTAACCTACACACGATACGTTTTGACAGCGACAGTAATAGAGATAATAATTTGCCGCGAACAGTTCAGCTATGCACGGTATGATGCGTTCGGCACGGCGCGGTGGTGGGCGGAGTTTTTCTGTTGGGTCTTGTGTAAGTAGTAACATGTGTTTATAACAAGCCATCAACCCACAGTATACTAGCAAATTACAAAATACAGTACCAAGGGAAAAATATCAGTTGTTACTATTGAGCGAAGATTACACTGAAGGTATCTTGATATAGGTGAAAATAGTTCTGATCAAATGCTCATTACAGAACTTGACCCTGTCCTACCAAAACTTAATCCCCAAATTAACCAACTGTTTTCATTTAAACAAAATGTCAAAACAATGTTTATGCAAGAAGGTATAGGGTATTATAAACGATCAATCTTTCATCGACTGTAAAATAAATGAATGTGTTGTGGATTGCCAGGTTAAAATTTCCATCATAATAAATTGAAATTCCACTGAAACTTAAATAATAAAATAGAAAATTAGTTGTAGGTAAATAAAACATGAGTTTCCTTTATATTGTTTTTACAATAGAAATAAACTACACCGAGCCATGGCTCGGTCCCCAGGTACTTACATTATAAAATATATTGTGAAAACAAAACATATAACAACCGTTGACACTTGATAATTTGACAATCACAGGACCTGGAGGGAGTCAGATTACAAAAAATAACATTAAGTTTAACCGATTTTAAGCTAAGACAAGTTAACTTAGGCTGCCTTATTATGACCCCAACTAAAACGCATTTTATTATAATCCATGTGTGTAGCCCCTGATCTGTTGGACATAATGTAAGACTAAATTACTTACGTAATTCCCGTCACAGCTCAATAAAATTTTATTGAGCTGTGACGGGAATTACCTAAGTGATTTAGTCTTAGATTACATTATTAAGTTTATATATAATAAACAAATGTTTTGGAAAATAATCAAATATACTCCAATGATAATTAAATAATAAATATAGTACAATGTACTTATTCTGCTGGAAAATTACAACTAATCACTGTAAGAACCGTAAAATTAGGCTAAACAACGTAACTAGAAAATTGATAGAATCTTGTATTCACAACACAAAGTACAGAGTGTGATGAACTATCATGTGTTATTGAAAATCAGCTGTAGGACAAAAACAAACAAAAAAATAAGCCTATATTCTGTTTCAATTATTCACATACCTCAGTAGTGTGCGTCCACGTAAGCAGGTCTGCAGGAATTGTACACTTGAACATGTCCAACACGCACTGACATGTCTTGTCCCACGTGTCGTCTGTAAACTTGAGTCCGTTGCTGATCACCAGGTTCTCTAGACAGTTAGTGCCTGACCTGGCCAGCTGCTCATTGGCTGCAAAATTATACAAGTAACAAATGAAACTTGACAATCACCTGTTTCTTACAATTTTACATCCTTTTACATCTTTGAGTTGATAGCAAAGCACTATAATCTCATTTCTGTTATGCGGTATTTCTGAAGGTGTACATATCCTATCTATATATTAATATTTATATTAATAGACAAGCATGTTTCTTGAAGACCTTTTTTCCCAGCTCGTGTGCATCACAGGGTAAATCTACACATACTGTTAGACTGGTATTATCCTGTATATGTGCAGAATCCTTTTATAAATTAAAATAAGCTAAAAAATAAACACAAAAAAATTATTTTAAATAAAAAAAAATTAACATGGGCCTTATGGGTTGCCATGCTGGTCACGAAATAACAATGAAATACTGTATAAACAGAAAATCCAAACAAATGGAAGAAATTCCAATCACATGTTTTATTTACAGTGTGGGGTGAAAATAGAGAAGTCTGTATATTATACATATTTTTGGTCGAGTTTTTCACCACTGGATGGCCTCTAGTATTTATTAAGTCATGGCACCTTTTACTGCTATATTTTACACCATATTAAAATTTTTTATCATGAACTATAATTTACAATAATTCAATTGTAATTAGGAGTCTGCAGATCCTCGATATTTTTTAATTGGGTTGGGCCAACAGTTGAGCCAGTGGGATCAGTCCTGGATGGAAATCATTTCCACGCCAAGTTCAGGTTGGTTCATGTATGTTAAAAGTGTGCAAACGGCTGAACTTTCAGCTTTTCATCTTTTATTTTCAGAGAAAGCGGCACGATCAAAATTGACAGTTTTGGCGCAACTGTGGGAGACGGTAATGAAATCTCCTTGACCGCAGAAGATGTTCACAATTTTATTGAGATCATAAAAGATTTTATTGATTCCATGTATCACCATGGAAGATTTTCACCATTGCACCGTAATTCCGGGAGGTAATGTACAGGTTTGTGTTAACCGATTGTAGTAGATTGATTCTTTTTTTAATCAATATTTTCCAAAAAAACAAAATTTTGGCACAAGATCTGAATGCCCAAATTGTTGACCCAACCCAAAATAAAAGTCTGGCCCTTAGACCCCTAATTAATAAATTATTACAATCATCCTGAATGTTTTATTTATATAATAATATTTCTATTAGATTTATAACTCACCTTGTTGCACACACCAGTGTAGCTGAACATACAGATCGGCCAACAACAGAGGCCCGAGAATGTCAAAGTATTGCGTAAACACATCCACAATTGCATACAATGCATGATTGCACGTCGTTGTCATCCACTCAGCTTTCTGTAACAGAAAATAGTCACTAGAGTTTGATGAATCCTTCTTAGAACTTCTTGATGTTTTCTAACAGAACTTGATATTATATTATAACACAGTATGAAGCAGCAAGCAGTGATCTGATAACCGATTACAGCAAACCTGCAAATTAAGTGAATTTCCAGATGTTTGGTCAAATTTGAGAAAAATATGTTTTTACCTAAAGAAAATGTCTACTTGGACTTTAATGGAAATAAGTAACATTAGGAAGTGAGAACACAGGTTTGCTGTTGTGAAGAAAACAAAAATGTTGGCTATGTTTCATGTATTTAAAAACCTGTTATAGGTAAGAAAAAATTCTTACAAAATTACGAAGTTTGCGAAATGTTATTAAACACTAGAAAAGAAGTAAAGTAACACAGTATGTTTATTCTACATTTGTTAGGTTAGCCTTTGATGGAAAATAATCCACAAAACAAAAATATAATGTTTCACTCTCAGACATATGTCTTCCTATCTCAAATATTCTTTGGTCGACAATGCGGTCTTTGTCAGTGAAGTATTCAAATTGTTTTGTGTATTGTAAAGTTTTTCAGTTTCTGATGCCAAGATGAACTCTTATCCATTAACTGCTTTCAAACAAAAATCCTCAAAACCTCGGCCCTTGATTTTTATGTTACATCTTTTAGTTTACCTATGAAAGAAAACTTTGTCTCTTAGTCTTCTATGAAAGAATAAAATGGAAGACAATTAACTGCGCTTAGCAAATTTGATATTTCGATAACCATAACCATATTACAATAATGTTACATAATACATTGTTTGTATTTAAAGCTAAAGTCAATGGTAAAATATTAGTTTTTAAAATATTTGCAATGTTGTATAAAGGTCGATTTACACATATCAGTTACAGCAGGTCACAGTTCAGACATATCAGTCACCTCACAGTCAACCAAAATATTCTTTAATGGATTTTCTATTCCGTTATCTACAATCATCAGGCGCAGGACCGTCAGTCGCTCTGTCGGCGTCTGTCAGTCAATTTCAGATTTCTTTCCACCGATATTTTTGGATTGTTCGGACACCTGACGGACGTGATTGAGATTAGAAAATAGTGTTTTTGTTATTTAAATTATTGTGTTTATATTTTAAGTGCTGTTTGTAACAATCAACAAGATGGACAATGAAAATTAGATAGAATATATAATAGGGTTTTAATTTTAAAAATTTTTACTGTAACATCACTGTAAATATTAGAGACGGAAGAATGACTGAAACCAACTGACGGAAAGTTGACTGAGGAATTATGAATGTAACTGAGACTAAAGTGTGACTGGACTGTAACGGAACTTTGACTGGACTGATTGCGTGAACCAACCTTAAAACCTCTCAAAAACCCTTGAATCAGGTTGTATAAACTTATCCAATTACATATTATTCCAAATGAAGTACAATTTTGAATTTTTAGGAGATTTTGTGTTTACCTCTCTAATAACAATCATTATCCATATTTTTTGTATTATAGTGGTTTAAAACCTAGATATTACCATGAAGACAGACTATGGTAATAATATAACTTAATATCTGTAGAAAAAATCATTGAAAACAAGTAAGAATATAAGTACCTAATGATAGTTTTATGAAAATCAAAGCAGACAAACGACGATAACATAAAAGAAAAATTTGCTAAAACCTGACAATGAAATAACTTATAGCAGAAGTGAAAACAGTAACAAATGGAAAAAGATACAGGCAGAAATAAAAAACATAAACATGAAGAATGAATTTAAAATCAAATTTTAAACTTTAACACGTTCGCTACTGCAATAGTACAAAATTTTTCATTCATATGGACTAGCGACGCACATTTGCGACGCCTGGTTTCTACCCATAGACTGCCATTGGCTAGTCACATTAAAATAGACTGACGTCGCATATTTGCGTCATGTTCCAATGTTATCAAAAAGCTTATATCTTTGTAACGGTCTATTTGAAGGCACTGAATTCTCTGCAGTGGTCTTCAGGGATGTCTGTCATACAACTGCGTCGCTTGGTCTGTGGATAAGATCATTGGTGACGTCATATGATAGTTGGAAAAACTGTTCTTTACTTTGCTGCATCACTGTATGTATTTATGCTGTATGTATGCTGCGTAGCTTTTATATTTGTTCAATTATAAACTGTTATTGAAATATCTGTTATTTTTACTTACATTCACCTAACATAAACAAAAATGAAGTGTCGCATATATGCGGCGGCGTTTGGGCTATTTAAAGAAAAATATAATAATTTTCACTATTGTCTTCGCTGTAGACCGGGTGTTGCAAATATGCGACATTAGCAAAGGTTATAAAAAAAGAAAAACAAGAATATATTATTTACAAGATTGCAGAGTATTACAAAGTAAATGATCACTGTTAAACAGGTTTTCGCCTGCGATCTGCATGTACTGTTAACCAAGTGACAGCCAGTCTATATGAAAGATTAAATTGTATACCTCGGTTTGTGGTAATGATCGCAGCGTCGGATATATGCGACGCTCAGTAGCGAACGTGTTAACCAGAAAAAATATGTTTATATCATTAAATTATTAATGAGTTTCAAATCTTAAGCAATAGAATATTAAAGGGATTAAATCAAGTACTTAGTAAATCCACAGGGAATTAAATGTGGTGGGCAAAAAAGAATTAGTAAGGAACATATACAGGGTGGAAAAAAATGCCATGGGGTAGTTAAATATTTCAACAAAATAATCAAGATAGAGCTACAAAACTTGGTATAATGTTACTGAGAAATATTATTTTACACATCATTCAGTGATACGCTACCCCCTCAGGGGAACAGTCCTCTAGGAATGAGAATAAAATCTTGTAAGCATAGGTTAATCCTATAATCTAAATCAAGCACATGTACGGGGGGTTAAGGGGGTGAGGTAGTTCCTCGGACAGCTAAAGCTGCAATGATATCTGAAACCGAGGACTATTTCTCCCCCAGGGGCATCTATGGTGCTCAAGACCGTCCGAGAAGGCCAGTACAAAAATGAAGTACAGGCCTGTGTAGTCCAATGACTGCACCGTTCACGTCGTGGCCCCTGTCACGCTGATCTCGGCGGATCTAGGCTAGAGTCCTGAATGACTCTCTGGTGGGGGGCAGCAGCACCATCAGAACTGGGTGTTTCGTGCTGGTCTAAGAGAGGCTAGAGCAGGGCGCCCACCTAGACGTTCAGTCATAGCAATAGCTATGTCTGAGCACTGCGGGCCCTGGGCTAAGGTGTAATGCGACCCGTGCTGAGAGCCTTGCGGCACTGGGGGCCTAATACTCAGTGTCAGAAACGGAGCCTTCTGGGAACCAGGGGGAACCCAGTCGTATGAACCCCTTACCTCTCTAATCGGGTCACTGGGGAGGTGGACCTTATATACCCGGTACTCGTGGGAACAAAATGGATGTCCAAACAAAAGTTAGTAAGCAAACTGACAAAAACATAACTGATGAGCAAGAAAAGTGTGACCAACAGGTCGAAAGCACTTCTATTGCTAGTGTAAATGTAGAAGATCCGACCCTAATGGAGGAGGAAGGCCTACTAAGATCTGATGAAGATGACAAGCTCCCGGAAACTGGAAAGGAACGAAAAAACAAACGACTTTCCAGGGGAGAGTTACGAAGACAAAGGATAGCGGAAGCTCTAGCCAAAGGCGAGAAGGTGCTATCTAGAAGTGAGAGAAGGCTGGCGTGGGCTGCCAAGCACCCGAACTCTGCTCCCGGCGAAGCCGGTTCCTCTGGGAACCAGGATGCTGGGAAAAAGCAGGGTGAGGGCGGCACTCCCAAAGCCGACTCTGTTGAAGCCTCTAGAAGGACGGGTGGAAAGAGGGGGCGAGAGCACCTGACACCTGAAGATGCTGGGGGTGATAAAAAGAAGTCAAGGAGGAAGGAAGGAGAGGGGTCCGGTGTTTCAAAGAGGACATCGGCACCCACATATTCAGAGACATTGTCCGTAGAGAAGATGGCAATCGCCAGAACTGAACACCCGGACAGGAAATTGACAGAGGTTGAAGCCAACAAAATCAAGGGGGAGCTGTCCAGACGGGCCATTCGTGGCAAAGACGTCAGGATAAGCAGCTGCCATCTTGAAGGTGGATGCCTAGTAGTCGGCTGTACAAACACAACCACAAAGGAATGGCTGGTCAAACAGGTTCAGGAGCTGAGCCCCTTTGAGGGCAGCTCGCTAAAGCTTGCCCCAGCCAAAGAACTTGTAAAGGCTGTGAAAGTATCAGTGTTTGTTCCCACCACAACGGGGGCAACAACCAAGAAGGACGTGATGCAGGGCATAAAGCTGCAGAATGACCTTGACACAGACCACTGGGCGGTCGTTGGGGGGAACTCAAACCCTAGCGGACAATTCCTGGTCATAATAATTGATGAAAACTCCCTGCAGAAGCTGAAGTCTCTTGCGATGCGCCCATTCTTGGGCTGCGAGAGGGTAACCTTCAGGTTGCATGGGAGCAAGGATCCCCACAAGTAGAGGATGGTTGCGGTGCTCCAGATAAATCTCCAACACAGCAAGGCGACTACGGCTACGCTTTGCCAGAAAATTCTTGCCGGCCGCATAGGCGTGGCTCTGATCCAGGAGCCATGGACCGCAGGAGGCAGAATCATGGGGATGAGCACCGCAAAAGGTGAGTTGATATATGATACTGACAGTGACAAACCTAGAGCTTGCATTTTTGTCAGTAGAAATATTAAGACACTGAAAGTCACTAATCTCTGTTCTAGGGATTGTGCCGTGACCGAGGTATACGGGCAGATGGGTGACGGTAACGTCAAAATCCTGCTTGCCTCAGTATACCTGCCATATGACTCCCAGGAACCACCACCGACCAGAGAAATGAGGATGGTTGTCGAATATGGAGCCAGGGAAAGAAAACACCTGCTGTTGGGCTGCGACGCCAATGCCCATCATGTGGCCTGGGGCAGCAGCAATATCAATGAGAGAGGTGAGAGCTTGTTAAGTTTTGTAGCTGAATCTAATTTAGTTATACTTAATAAGGGATCCAAACCAACCTTTAGACAGAGGAGAGGGGTGGTACTAAGGGAAGAGGTTTTGGACATAACCTTGGCCAGTAATTATGCGGCGACAAAGGTTGTAAAATGGGGGGTATCTGATGATCACTCAGCGTCAGATCACAGCTACATTGAATTCACTATAGGTTCGATCTGTGTAAAAGAGACCTATAGGAACGTTAGAAGGACAGACTGGAACCAGTATCGAGAGGTGCTAGGGGACAGACTAAGACAATTAAAAGATACAGAAGGGCATGGGGTGGAGAGTATGGCGAATTCTCTAAATGCGGCCATACTAAGCTCATACCAAGAAGCGTGCCCAGAGACTGTAAAGAACATGTCTAGGCAAGCCTGCTGGTGGAATAGGGGGCTAGAAGCTCTGAGGAGGAAGGTTCGCAGACTGTATAATGTGGCAAAACGTACAGGAAATTGGAACAACTACTCAGAGATGCTCACTGTTTACAATAGGACAATTAGAAGAGCTAAGAAAGAGTCATGGAGAGAATTCTGTCAGAACATGGAGAGTGTTTCTGAATGTGCAAAGCTTCATAGGGTACTAGCTCGAGGTCAAGCTAATCCTTTAGGAACAATGCTTAAGGAGGATGGTACATATACAGACGGCCCAGAAGAAGTGCTGGAGAGCCTTTTGAGCGCTCACTTCCCAGGATCCTTACAACCGCAGAGCACAGTCCAGGAGGAGATAGAAAGAGAGACTAGGGTGCGGACGGTAAGAGAAGATTGGGCCTGCGCTAGGGCTGTGATTACCTATAACGGTATCAAATGGGCGCTTAGGGCATTTCAACCATTTAAAGCTCCTGGTACCGATGGCATCTATCCTGGGTTTTTGCAGGAAGGTGGGGACCAGTTGATACTCCCCTTGGTGCGTCTTTTCAGGACCAGCTTAGCCAGTGGAGTTATACCAACAGCATGGAGGACCTCAAGGGTGGTATTCATACCGAAGCCCGGAAGGGATACATATGCTGTGCCCAAGGCTTTCAGACCAATCAGCCTTACATCGTTTCTCCTGAAGACCATGGAGAAATTAGTGGATAGACGAATAAAGGATAGGGTCTTGGTAAGCCATCCTTTGCATCCGAACCAACATGCCTACCAGAAGGGAAAGTCATGCGAAACAGCCCTGCATGCGCTGGTTAGTAAGATTGAAAGTGCTATCTCGAACAAGGAAATAGCGGTGGCTGCATTTCTTGATATAGAAGGAGCTTTTGACAACACCACTACTCGCTCTATTGTATCAAAGCTGGTGTCAAGAAATGTGGAAAGCACTGTAGTGAGGTGGATAGGCAACATGCTCGAAAGTAGGAGAGCGCAAGCTTCTCTGTGTGGGACGGTGAGAGAGGTCAAGGCCCAAAGAGGGTGTCCACAGGGTGGCGTCTTGTCACCAAATCTGTGGAATCTGGTGGTTGACGATCTCCTGTCCGAGCTCAATGCACAGGGCATGTACGCTCAAGGATATGCTGACGATATTGTTGTACTAATAAGAGGAAAATTTATGAACACTTGCCTGGAACTCATGCAGAGGGCATTGTCCATAGTGGAGAGGTGGTGTAACCAGGAAGGTCTGAGGGTCAATCCAATGAAGACTGTAATGGTACCATTTACAAGGAAGAGAAATGTTGATATCGCTAGAGTACCAACTCTCTTCGGTAATCAGATCCAGGTTAAGAGGGAGTTCAAGTACCTAGGAATAAGGCTGGACGACAAGCTCACCTGGAACAGCCATTTGGCACATATAACGCAACGTTCTCAGACCACACTTATGATGATGAGGCGGGCTGTTGGGAAGACCTGGGGTCTAAGTCCACAAATGACTAACTGGCTATACACTAGGGTCGCAAGACCGATGATGGTGTATGGCTCGGTGGTCTGGTGGACCAAGGTAATGCAAACTACCGCTGTAAAGAGACTACAAAAGATCCAGCGAGTAGCATGCCTTAGCATCACAGGAGCCATGAGAGGCACTCCAACTGCAGCCCTGGAAGTAGTGCTAAACCTGCCACCTCTCGACATCATTGTGAAAGGAGAGGCAAGGATGGCAGCCTACAGAATGGCTTGTAGTGGCAACTGGAAGTATAATGCCTCCAGTGAGCACACAAGAATTGTAGACAAGGTGCAAAAGAACTCCTTGGAAATGCTACCAGACAGGATGGTGAAGATCACAGATCTAGAAAAACCATACAATGTCAACATTGTTGACAGGGATGCCTGGGATAAGGGTGAACCTGAATTCATGAAAAGGGGGATCACCTGGTATACGGATGGCTCAAAAAAGCCAACGGGCACGGGGGCTGGAATATATGGAGTCAGACCCAAGGTGCAGTTATGCGTAAGTTTGGGAAAAATGGCCACTGTATTCCAGGCAGAAGTGGTGGCCCTGTCTGAGTGTGCGAGAGTGTGTTTGAAGCGCGGTCTTATAGGCCACACTATATACATGAACTCAGACAGCAAAGCAGCACTAATGGCACTTGACAGTTTCGACTTTACCTCCAAGGCTGTATGGGACTGTCATCAAGCCATGAAAGCCCTGGGAAAGACCAACAGGATCATCCTAAGTTGGGTTCCAGGGCACAAGGGTATTGCTGGCAATGAGGGAGCTGACAAGTGGGCAAATAAAGGAGCTGAAAGCCCGCTCATGGGTCCAGAGCCGACGTGTGGTATTGCTTACAACACAGCACGGAGAGCTGTTCGCCAGTGGATGGGCATAGAACATCAAAGGAACTGGGAAAGAACAGAAGGAAATGTACAGTCAAAGAGAATGCTGAAGGCACCTACAGGTGCGATAGCGGCAGAAGCCCTTGGGCTGAGTAGGAAGACCCTGCGGAAGGTGGTTGGCTTTATTAGCGGCCATTGGGTATTCCGTGGACATTTACACAAGATGGGAATTCAAGTTGAAAGCCTCTTATGTAGGAAATGTGGAGAGGAGGAGGAGACAGCATTCCACGTGATATTTATGTGCCCAGCCCTACAAGGTCTGCGCATGAGATCCCTTGGCCTATCGACTGGAGATCAAAGGGAAGAACGGGTCACCATTGTCAAAAGGATCTCACGGTTCACAAAGGACCTGGGATTTGACAAAGAATGAGGACCTGTGAATGAGGGTGCACAATAAGCTGTTCTAGCTGCGTTGCAATCCCATGGTTACTTGAAGCCTAGCCCTCTATTAAAAAAAAAAAAAAAAAAAAAAAAAGCACATGTACGGGCAAGACAACCGAGTCAACAATGGTAGCCGTTCAAAGATTTATAGAATCTGCCATTTTGAATCTCTAAAGAGCTGCTATTTTTTACTCAGATGTTCTTTTGAACTCAAATCTGCGGCATTGTATTTTACTAATCATAATCAAGACCTTTCTTTGCTTACGTTTTTTTAAATTTTCTTACAAATTCTAGCAGGCACCTCCGTGGAGGTAACGTATAATAGCATTGCAGATTCAAAGAATATTTGAACAGCTGTAATTTTCGACTTGGTTGTCCTTCTCTGTTTTAGTTTAGGTTTACGGCATTGTATTTTACTAACATGGAATTTTAATTTTATATGAATATCAAACTATGCTTATATTTAAGATTTTCTTCTGACTTTTAATGGGCCGTCCTCCTTTAATGGGTAGTGTATCACTGAATAATGTGTTAAATGGCTTTAGTGATTAGTAACTGAACATTGAATTTTGAAGGGTTTGAAATATTTATGTGTCCTGGGACATTTTCCCATCTGTAGAGACAACTAATGTTAATATCCAGCAAAAATGTGTGATCCAGCAAAAATATGTGATCTATGATCTATATTCCTAACAAAAAACCAGCATAGGATTTGTTTCTTTCTCTTTTAAATAATAACAGTAAAGTAGTGTTTTTTAAATTGCTTATCAAATTAATGATGGTTTTTTTATAAGCGAGTAAGTATGAGGAATCCCTCTTAATATAGATACCAAGCACAATCTAGCCAATTAACAGCCCAGACTGATAAAGAGAGTAGAGTGCATGCATTCATACAAACACACGTCACTCCAAAACCCGACAGAAACACTCACACTCTCAAAATTACTCCTCAAAGTCTCCTCCACAAGGGACAAACTGGGCTGGTGTTTCTGACCGAGAAACAAAACATTAACAGAAATGTAAGTAAAAAATTAAAATTAAAAACCAATCGGTTATAAACATTAGTTACAAACACCAGTAAAATGTATGACAATTTAATAGTCATACAAAATATTTAAAAAATTAAAAAGCTATTTACAAAACATGAAAATGTTTTAAAAAATAGCAGTGATGAATAATACAAAAATACATTATAATCACAAATTTTTAGATTACATTTAGTAGAATGTAAGTAAACATTTAAAAAGTATGAATATGAATAGACCAATCAACAAGGAGGACAGTACTGGTAAAATAAGTATGAAACCTTGAACTGATAAAATAGAAACATTTAAGTAAAGATAATAACTAACTACAAAGACAAATTTAGAACCTTGCCTATAAATAGAAATACTTTTAAATAAAAAGTGAACCGAATTATAATTGGCATCCTTTAATTTTGAACTATATATTTAAAAAATAAATACATTCAATCAATAGACAAATTGCTTGCAGCAAATATTGAGTTTTAATACAATCCATCCCTTAAAGTAAAAAAAAATAAAACAAAATAAACTTTGCAAAATAATATGCTGCTATAATACTAGTTTTTTGTACTAAGATTTCAATAATTCTTACCTCTGTGTGATGTTCAGGTAATTTCATGTTGTCAAATATTCTGAACAGAACCTGAAACATTTCAAAATATGAAAGTCAACAAATAAAATTATATTTACTTTTATTACTTGGCCCAAAGAGGTTTTCTGTGTCATTTTGACAATACAATATTCCTGTAAAGTACAAACATCAAGTATAACCATAAAGTCAAATTCTTGAACTTGGTTCAATGCAGAGCTTGCTGGTCTAGTGATGGAGCACAGGGCTTTGGTCCCTGTGGTACCGAGTTCAAATATTGCCAACCATCACCATCAGTTGAGATGGGGACACCACCTAGGTGCGTATTTTAACCCAAATAAGAGTGAAGGATGAGTGTAGAAAGGAGTGAGATAATAAGTGTAAGTGTAGCTTTCTTACTGACTAAGATTACCTGCTTCATTAGCCAGGATCATAACTTTTGCTTCATTATGCTAAGTGTGCAACATTTCCCCCTCCAAATCTGAACGGTGCTCGTTCAATCCAAAGCTGAGTCAAATACAGGTAAATCAACAAATGAGCTGCATCGTTCAATGGCTTGAGATCGGTAAATAGGGAGTATACTGTACCAAGCAATTATGAATATGACAGTAAAATTTCAAAAAGTGTTTATGGAATTCATTTGGTGACTGCAACTGTCTATATAGCGCAGCTATTCTTTTGTTCTTTGCAGACTGCTTACTGTCAGATGCTTCATACAATCTGGTAGGCAAGTTTTCTCCTTGCAACTAGGGTAGTTCAGTTTTGCACCTTAAAGTTTCATTTTTATTTTTTGCTAATGTCTTCCTTAACTCTTTTGACACTTAAGTTAAGAATTAAATTGTACTAATATTAGAACAATTTCAGTAGTATGCTTCCAGATCAATCTCATGAGTTTTCAACAAATAAATAAGACAAAAATAAACATACCTGAAATAAATCTCTCCACCAGTGAGGTTTGAAAGCGTCGCCGTGTGTTTTGACGATTTCAAAGAGCACGGTGAGTGCGCGAGTTCGGACGTCAAGTTTGCACCGGCTCACGATGCACGAGAGTTCAAACAGCAGTGGAAACCATCCTCTGACCCAAGCTCGGTCCTCTTCGCTAACATTACCGTCCTCCAGGCAATGCTCGTTGTATAACTGCAAGGTTGGGTTTCATCAAGTTGTTTTTTGAAGAAAATATTGATTTCTTTTATGTAATCTTTATACTGCAAAACTTTGTTTTATGTAACTATCACTCAAGATAAGAGCAACGCTGGAGATGAGCACATCAACCCAGTATGGGGTATCTATTCTTATTTAACTTTTCTATAAATAACCCATTTAGTTAAAAAATGATAAATCATAGAATTAGTTCTCTTACCCAACCCTTTGTATTAGAATGTGTATAAATTTATTTGTGGGATTTTTATCTGCATTGTAGTTAGGGATGACAAAAATCACATGCAGGCGGCAGTCTATACGATTATTTAGTTATGTAAACATTGTAAAGCTGTTTACACATTGTATCAATACAAAATAATTTGATTGATTGATTCAACTAAACACTAAATTTTTACCTGAGGTTTCTGATGCACACAGTCAGCGCAGGTTCTGATAAGTCGTATTGCCTCCATACTGGTGTCTGGAAAACTTGCGTTGCAAGCAAACTCCGATAAACACTTGACTGCGTCTTGGAATGAATCCACCATTATGGCAAAGTGTGCTGGGTAGAGGTTGTCTAAAAATAAAGGAGATAGTTGAGCTTTTTTATTGAGAAAATATACAACAAATGGCAGTTTTTATAGTTTTACCTGATACATTAGAAACCGCTTTGGATGACATAAAAAAACAGACTCTGTAACTACGCAGTTGTTAGCACTGTTACTAGACAGCTGACAGCTGGCGCGACGATGTCAATTTTGCAAGTCATTTTACAAAGCAGCCAGTTGGGTTAAAGCATTAGAGACAGGCATCGGGAGAAAGCCTGAAATCTGACGTTTACGGAGATACCAAACTTAATCCAGTTTCGTGTACACTGGAACGGAGTGAAGTAAATTAAAAGACACCTTACGTATCGACTCCCTTGAGTCAACTAGCAGGGGGCCGGGGTGTGGCAATCGACTTGCTCGAGTCGATCAGCAGCTGGAGGGTTATTGATTTATAAAAATTCAACTAGGAATCACTAACACTTGATTCTTTAAAAACACAAATAAACTTGATTATCTTTAAATACAAACAAGCACTGTATATTATAATCACAAAGAACATAGGTAACTCACTGATGATGTGTCCTGTAGTCTGAAACGCCATTTCCACTATGGCCTCATCATGATCAGCCGCAGCAAGGTGGAACACACTGAAAATGTTCTTCCAACCAGACCGAACGTTCTTGGCTTGTGAGTTGACCATCTGCGCTATGCATCGGACCACCATGTCACGTATGGTCCGTGATCTGGAAAATAAAAGTAGCTAACAATTAAAATGAAAGTATCAGAGTTATTTTACAGAGGTGAGCAAAACATTGCGTTTTAAGTTATGGTTGCCAAACAGAAATACCCTATTGGTTCATAATTTCTCTGGCTTATTTCAGAATCCAAAAAATATCCTAAAATCTGCGGACTGACCTCTTTAAATTAAAGCATTAAAACAACACTTAATTAAGTTTGCTTTTCGGTCTCCAGGATTAGTTGCCATAAGACTAAAACCAATATATTTTGCTTCATAGAAATAAAGCCTTGCAAGATCATACAACACAGTTATTTACATTTATCACTACTTCAAATTAATTAGAGTAAAGACTGACCTGTTCTTTTTCATGATGTGTTCAAAAGGCCTCAAGAAGTCTTTCTGGAATTTGAAATTAGCAAATTCTCCTTTCTCAATAAACTTCATGGATAGCTGACGGAGGGAGTCGAGAGCGAATATCGCAATGTCTTCATTAGGGTTGCAACCAACCTAAAAAAATCCAACGTTTGATTCCCAGCAATAACTACTTTGGTTACTACTTGTAACTATTTCTTACTATTTAAGGTGATCACAGAAGATCATTGTGTCACCATGATCTCAGGAGATGACCACAATGTTGCCATAATCGAACAAGAGAGAATCATGATGTTACCGCAAACGCGGTACAGTAGACTCCCTCTAGTTCGGCTTTGGTTGGATCGGTCGCCGGATGGTCCGGCCCGGTCTCAGGGGGACAAGTCACATCGTCACGAGCGAATGACCTTCGACAGGATTCAACTTGAATGTTTAGTTTCCGGCCATAGAAGTGTCAGTCTAGTTGATGGGTGCTTCTATTGGATAATTTTTGTATATTACCTGTGATAAACTATGTTACATAGCCCGAAAAATAGAAAAATACCAAGAACATTTTACATTGTTTTTCTTCAGTATAATATGTTGAAATGCACTGTATAATTAACTATTTCTGACCATTTTTATATGTAGTAGGTTCCCCCATTATTGTTTACGAAACATCACGGTTTATTTAACAAAAATAAATGGAAGCAAAACAAAGAAATAGCCACCATTAGCTTCAAGGTCAAGCTATCGCTTGCACTGACAATCGTCTGCTGTGCTGTGGGCTTGCTATGTCACAACAGTTTGTGATTGGGTGAATAGTATCCATAGCAACTTGTTGAATGTGTGTATGAAGAGAAACCAAAGAAAGAATATGATGAACAAACAGAAAGAATAAGTGGTGTTTTACGTCATCCATTGTTATCTTTATTTTATTTTACGACTGTTGTTATTATCTTTAATATTCATTTTATACAGTATTAGGCGTTTTTATGGGTATGTAATATAAAATGTTTGTGGTTTTCAGCTATCCGTGGTCTCCCTCCCCCCTATTACCCCAAATAATTGAGGTTCTACTACATTTGGTTAGTCCGGCCATTTTGTAGTCCGGCCAGTAGTACGGTCCCGAGGTGGCCGAACTAGAGGGAGTCTGTATATGATTTATGGTTTTGCCATTGGGAAACGAAAATCGACAATTTCATATCCTGATGAGATCATCAGTTTTGAAAAATCAAGAATGGCCCATTTCTATAATTAACCGCTTTAGCCAATCTGAATATAGAAGAACAGGACGTACTTTGTTGAAATGTTCCCCCAGGACTTGCCATATCCTGCTCCACTGAAGCCTGATACGACCCATGTTGTAGTAGGAGATCTCAACAATCTTCTGTAGACTGAACATCCGGTGCTGAGTTGGATGAGATAGTTCGTCCATGGAAACCTAAACAAAAATCTATTATAGAGACCTCTTATTCTTATAAATTAAAAAAATTACATTTTAGTTTCAGTAGCCCCAATACCTTATCTTTCTAATTTATATTGCTTTTAATATAAATCTATGTATATATTAATTACGTAAGCCGATTCTTTGCGTCAAAATTGTGGGCGACTTGGAAGTCGTAGAAGGACGGGAGAGGGCTCAAATTAAAGGTCTCGACCCCGTGACGGCGGGGAAAATAGTGAAATTCCCCAAATCTTGATACAAAATTAGATATAACGTAAAATGTTCTCCATAAGAATAGCAGTAGAAGTCATTTGCTGCTGATTTCTGTTTACTTCAATACAGCTGATCGTGCTATATCTTGAAAACATTGATCAATACACGCATTTGGTTTACTTTTAGCCAGTCAACTATGAAATGTATACTATTATAAAACTGAAATCTTGAAGATTAATGGGAAAAACGTCTGCATTCTTTGTTTATATTTAAATCATATACTCAAGTTTCATTTTTTCATGCTTTTACATTATTGTCGTGTTAAAGGAATAAACGACATAGAATAAATATTCTGTATAAATAATCAAAGAGTCAAAATTAAATATAACTTCTGTTTTGTTTTTATTTTTAAATCATATGTTCAAGTTTATTTTAAATTATGTTATTTCTACACATTTTAAGGTTAAGGTTGTGTTAATATATACAACTAAAATAACCTATAAATGTTATTGGTTCTAAAATGGTGTATTTGCATTCCTTCGTAAGTAAATATTTTTTTAGTGCAGTGAATATACAACGTAGAGTAATCATATTCGATCATACTTTTATAAAATCACCAGGGATTCAAGATGTTTTGGTATGTAGGCTGCTGGATATATATTCTTTTCATTATAAGTACTGTAATTAATATGAACGCCAGGGGTAGACCACGAAGGCGGGGAACTGTTCATAGCGTAGAAGAGCAAGAGTAGGTAATGACGAACTTAATCAAGATATGTTACAACCCCTTTTTTATGAGACCCATGGTAGACGAGAGAAATGTAAATATTCATGATGCAGAATTACTGGACCAAGAGTTCATTCAATGTAGTGCTCTTCATTTTAGAGAAGAACTAACGAATAATCATTTTATGACATGTTGCCATAACGGACTAATTAACCTTCCTCAGCCAAAAACTAATGTAGAACTTAAAAATTAGTTTGAAGAGAGCCCACAACTGTATAAATTCATTCGACAATACAACAGCGCGATGGCTTTTGCTTATTTTTCAGCCAGTAAGAAAGATATTCCAGGAAAAGGATCATACTGTTTCAAAATTCAAGGACAGATTTATCGTTCAATTTCAGATTTGCTGCATCAACATGATGAAGACCGTGTATGGCCAATTGTACATTATTGACACATCAACAGCAACAGAAATATAACAGCAACAGATACATAAGATGGCGGCGCATAGCAAACAGTCAAAGTGCGGTTCGTGTAATAAAAACGTCACGAAAACTAGTAAAGCACTCCTATGTGTCGGGATTTGTAAATTATGGCATCATAACACCTGCATTGATGTAACTGACGAAGAGTACGAGTTATTCAAAGCTCTAAAAGGTAAAGCCGTGTATATTTGTGAGAAGTGTCGTGCACCGGCTTCTGCTTCTGCTGAGACTTCGTGTTCGCCAAAGAGAATTGATGCTGAAATTGACAATGGACAATGTCCAGACGATTTTAAACTTTTGACCGATCAAATTTCTGATCTTTATGACAAGTATAATGTGATTACCACTCAGTTAATTAAAATGGACAATGACAGGAAACTCCTGCGATCGGCAGTAAACAATCAAGCTGAGGCTCTGGACGACCTGTTAATAAATGGTTCTTCTGCAGGTGGTAAAACATACGCAGATTCTTTGAAAGTAAATTCAGTGAGCCCTAGACTCACTAACTCAGCAACTAAAGTGCCTAATAGTGCAAATAAAATGACTAAAAAACATGCTCAAAATCCTAACCTATCAATGTGTAGTCAAAGCTCTCGGCCTAACCCTGTTGTAGGCCTAGGTGTAGGACTAACTTCGCCCTCACAGTCACTGAGTGATTCGGACTTTCCTGTGGAAGCTTCTGAGGAGTTGCCTTATACAGTGGTCAAGGCCCGGGGACAAAAAAGGAGACAAACATCTGTACCAAAGAGACAAACAAATAACACAGGGACTAGGCCTAGGTCAGGGTCAAACAGCAAGAGTGTAAAGTACGGTTTCATTACTGGACAGTCAACTTCCTAACTTAACCTAAGTACAACAGACAAGAAAACATTCTTATTTGTTTCCAAACTAAGCCCAGATACAACCTGTGAAAACGTAACAGACTTTTTAAAGGGTAAAATTGACTCTCAGTACATAGTGGAGAAACTACAGTGTAAGTACCCTAACCATTATTCATCTTTCAAAGTAGGAATACCCTCAAAGCATTTTGATGACATATATAAACCTGAATTTTGGCCAGAAAATGCCTTTGTATCTGTTTATAAGCCAAGGAAAAGTGGACAGATCGTTTCTAATAGGCCTGCTTTGGAGCATTTAAACTCCGAGCTGTCCAAAACAACAAACGGAACCTAGAACTAAACAAGGAATCAGCTAACAGGATTGCCTCCGTGGAAAGGGTTGATTACAACATCTATTCCGTAAACACCCAATCCCTATTGGATAAGCAAAATGAACTTGATCTTATTCTACACAGTCAAAATATTTCTGTGCTTTGTGTGTGTGAGCATTGGTGTAGGCCTGACACTATTGATTTAGTGCATATTGAGGGTTACATATGTGCAACAGCTTTTTGTCGCACTATTCAAACTAAGGGTGGTGTGGCAATTTTTGTCCGAGAGGATCTGAGTTTTGCGATACTTGATGTAACTCGCTTTTGTGTTGAGAGACATTTTGAGGTTGTGGCGGTCTTGGTTCATTACCCTAACTTGGAAATAATCATTTTGTCAGTCTATCGAGTTCCAGATGGGGATGCGGCGATTTTCCTGGAGAATGTAGAACTGTTGATTTTATTTTTGTCTAAAATGAATGTGCCTGTGGTATTGTGTGGCGACATTAATATCGATATTCGCCTTAGAGAGCCATTACCTCTCCAATTTCTGGATGCTCTCCGCTCTGTTGACTGCTATTGTGCAAATGAGAAGCCTACAAGAGGACCCGCCTGTCTCGACAATGTTATTACCAACTACCCAAGACAACTTCTAGATGTTAACGTTACTTCAGTGCCTTTATCTGACCATCAGGCTCTGGAAATTAAGCTAACGCCCACTGACTGTAGCAACAAACATCAAGAAACGACTTCTAAGATTACTCATTGTTTTAGCAAAAAAAACAATGAAAACTTTATGTCCTACATGCTTAACACTGATTGGCTCACTATCAATAGCAACTCCTGTGATAATTTTCCTGAACATTTTTTCATGCATTTCTTTCAGAGCTTTGACACTTTTTACCCTGTTAGAATTATGAAGTATAATGCGAAGAAATCTCTTAAGCTTGGGCCTACCTGGTTTAAGCAAGAACATCAACAAATGAGAAAGGAGTTATCGCAACTGTATGACTTCCTTCTCTGGGCTAAAAAATATAATCTTTCTGTGGATATTATTAGATTCAGGTATTTGGCTGCCAAACGAAGATATAAGAAAGCTCTTGTACAAGCTAAACTGGACCACAATGTGATTAAAATTTCCCAATCAGACAACAAATGTAAAACAGCTTGGGAGATTGTAAACAACTCCAGGAACAGGCCTACTCGTAATGATGACTGCAACCTCACACCCGAAGACTTCAACTCGTATTTCATCTCATCTGTGGAAGATGTCAGTAAACAAGTCAACCTATCTCCAGAAAGAGCGTCTGATTTGCTGGGAAATCACCAACACCCAAACCCCATCTTCAAGTTCAAACCTGTGTCCTGTGATTACATAGAAAATATTGTAAAAAATTTGAAAAGTGGCCATAGCAGAGATATCTATGGTATCAGTGGAAATTTTATCAAGAGTATGTTACCTGTGATTGTTCTCCCCCTAACCCACTGTGTCAACGAATGCCTGCGTACAGGGCAGTTTCCGGATGTGTTAAAGCTCTCCAAAGTGGTGCCTGTATATAAGAGAGGTGTTAAAGATTGTGCTGCAAGCTACAGACCGATCTCCGTTGTACCGACCTTTTCCAAAATTATTGAAAAGGCTGTGAAGCACCAGGTGAGTGAATATTTTGAAGTGAATTCACTTTTTTCAAAATTTCAATTCGGCTTTCGGGAAGGTTTATCTTGTGAGGATGCAGTCGACCGCCTTGTTTCAGCTGTGATTGATGGCTTTGAAAACCACCTTAGTACCCTGACCACCTTATGTGATCTGACTAAGGCGTTCGACTGTGTGTCTCATGAGATCCTTCTCAATAAATTACTGTATTATGGTGTGGAGCTAAGTTTTTTTAGAAATTATCTGGCAAACCGCAGGCAACAAGTTTGTTTTAAAAACAGTCTCTCAGAGGTAACGGTAGTCAAAAGTGGTGTACCCCAGGGATCGGTTCTGGGCCCTTTTCTGTTCCTTGTTTTAATTAATGACCTTCCTGTAAATATTAGTTGTAACAAAGTCATATTTGCTGATGACACTACCTTTTTCTGTTCAGGTAACAATATTGCTGAGCTCTGTAACATTATGTCTGATGTGATGGCAGATGGCACAATCTGGTTTGAAGCAAATGGCCTCCTTTTGAATACCAATAAAACTCAACAAATATGTTTTTCCTTGTGCCAGTTTGATGTTCAATCTGATGTAGTTGTAGATTCTGTCGTTAAGCTCTTAGGTATTACTGTTGACACCAAACTTACATGGGATTCTCACATACAGAATGTTTGTACCAGACTATCTAGAGTGATTTCTCTTTTGTGGCATTTAAAGAAGCTGATCCCTAAAGTGTACCTGAAAAATGTGTATTATGCTTTGTTTAATGGAATAATTTCTTATGGCATTCATCTGTGGGGGAATGGCCACAGTATTGATAAAGTCTTGCGCTTACAAAAAAAGGCGATGCGTATAATCACACACTCAGCTTTTAAAGCACACTGTAAACCACTCTTTGTCAGCGAAGGAATTTTGACAGTGATTAACCAGTATATTTATGTTTGCCTGTTGCATGTTAAGCAACATCTGCATGAGTATCCACTCAGAAGTAGTGTGCATGGTTATTGCACTAGAAGCATGTCCTCACTCAATCAGCCTTATGTTCGTTTGAGTAAATCACAATCCCAGCATCGCACTATGTACATTAATCTATTTAATAAGTTGCCTGTTTCTGCACATAATGTATCTTTCACTAAGTTTAAGTTGTCTGTTTACAATTGGTTGGTTGCAAGGCCATTTTACAAGCTCGATGAATTCTTTGTATTGCCTGTTGATATTCAATTTTAAATTCTGTCTGTCTGTGATATAGCCAAGGGCTGAGTTGTTTTATAAGTTATTTATCTGTCTGTTTGTTAGTATTGTCTTTAAATTTTATACTCTTTTCTTGCCCCTGCTATGTTTTTTTTCTAACTTATTTTAAACACACTGCATTTATTGTATACACATTGCACCTGTTTTCATGTTTGCTCTAGTCTTTGCATACCTATGTTTTTTATAAACTTCAGTATTTTATTTTTAAGATGACTGTGATACTTTTTGCATGTACTCTGCACTTGTTTATATTTTATTGTCTATATTTATTTAGCCTTATTGCCTGTAAACTTTAGGCTACTATTATGACGTTCATCCATTGCATGTGTTGTACATAGCGTTAACGATGAATAAAAATTCTTGATTCTTGATTCTTGATTCTTGATTGATTCTTGAAATTCGTCAAAGGCGTCGAGAAAATAGTGATTTAAAACCTGAAATATTGTCAAAACTAGCTGAAATTCTAATAGAAAATCCATTTGCACAAATTTACAAAAGAGCTTCGGAAGAAATGGTTGTACAAGGTGACAGTGATTTAGAACTTAGGTTTGTAGACAGGATAAATATGGATCGTCGTAGGTATAATAAGCCTACTGCAGATGAAATTGCAGGCGTCTTCAATTCATCTGAAGGCCAACCTCCAATTAATTTAAAAAATGCCAAACAGGGAAGCTATTATTTATCCTCATTAAGACCAAAGCTACCTTAGTAAACCAGTATTTATTCACAAACAACGATATGTTTGCTGCCTTTTCATGTTAAACCACTGGAGTGATTCAAATTATTTATTGAAAATGACATCAACAAAAGCAAACCAAGAAGAACAACAAACTGGTTTTTACACAAAATATATGGTGTAGGGATGCCTATTCTGACACATAGATAATGTTATTCCGAGTTTGTTTAAATACCGGAATTGCAATATGTTGTTTTACATTTGAGCTATTTAGGGACTTATGTCCCAACAAGCCACTAGTAATTAATTAAAGTTGTGGTGCCACTACACTGCCAATGACAATAATTTTCAACCATATGTTTTCTATATATTTTAATCATGTTTTTATTATTTTAGTTGTCCTAGCAACCTAGGCTATGACCGTTTTACTGATTTACAATCTAGATGACACTGAACCAGAATGATTCGTTTTAGTTTGTCTATCCGCTAGAAATTTAAGATTTTGAATCATTTTTAAAAGTAAACTATGATGACTTTAAAAAAATCAGGGGTTTCATAATTAAATGTGTAGAATATCAAGGCCTACAACTTAAACTTGCTAAGGGCAAGCCAGCGGTTTTCTTGTGAAAATTAAGTAAATTTAATGGGGGTTTTTAAGGGATGAAGTTCAGCTAGACCATTTGAATGAATGAATGAATCCTTTTTATTTCATTACAGTACATCATTTACAATGGTACAAACAACAATTACTGAAATGTAATCCCCAAATGGGCTAATGCCTGTGGTTGGGGATTGAGTCCATCATCCGCACAATAAAAATATAAATTTAGGCTACTTTTAAAAAGGGAAAATAATATACATTGTACACAGAATTTTGTTTACAAGAAAAGATAAATAATAAAAAAACTAGTTTACGAGGTAAATATATACAAAACGATTCAGTGTATGAAAAATGAATGCACGCATATATCACACGTTCAGTTTGCACGTTAAACTATAGGAAAAGCCTTTTATATATATAGATTACCATTAGAAATAACACATAATTTGAAATGCCTGAGACTTGGCACATACATTCCACACACATAGCCCCCTAATTTGTCAAAAAATTAGTTTTTACTCTGAAGCAGTCCTACTACACATCAACTAAATGTACTGATACATTATTTTTAAGTCCCTAGACTCCAACTTCTTCGTCAAATAGAAACTTAACTCAACTATCTCCATTAAAAAAAATCTTTAATGAGCGACATAAAACTAAATCAACTAAGAAACTCTTTGTGTTAATAACTGTACCTGACACAGAGCTCGTACGAAGTCCACGATTGCGTCACCATCCAGCCTAATAGAGCCGGTGAATATTCTGTCCACTGCCACTACTACACTCTGCGAGCTCGTTTCACCAATAGACTCCTTTACGCTGGCTGCAATCATTGTACAATGTGAGTCATACAAAAACTATTGACAATACTCACAACTAGTATTTTACTGTCTCAACACAATATGTCTATCAAAACGTTCAACTAAAGAGTTTAACTTGAGTATTGCATTTTCTGTTAAGGTAAAGATATTATTTTCCTGAACATTTTCTGAAATTTCGGGGCCCATCCCTAACTACGTATTTAATATAATCAAATATTCTTTTCAATGATGCAAAACATGTTTATAAGTAAGCAATATACAGGGTGTTTTTTTTTAAACTTGCATCTTTATTTATGTAAAAACCGCAATAGATAGAAATATGCAGTTTGCGGGAATCATCTATTGACGTAAGGAGCCCAATTTTTTTTTATTCAACGTTACATTCACATTCCCCCCCTTTCCCCCCAACTTATTTTTTTAAATAGCAAGGTACCCCTTGTGACATATCAAATGAAAGAGCATGAAAAAAGAAAAGGTTTGATGAAAAAAAATTAAAATCGGTTCATAAATTTGTGAGATATCCCCCCCCCCCCTTCCCCAGAACTTAATTTTTTTGTAATAGCAAGGTACCCCTTGTGACATATCAAATGAAAGAGCATGAAAAAAGAAAATGTTTGGTGAAATTTATTTTTCATATGATATGTCACAAGGGGTACCTTGCTATTAAAAAAAAGTTATGGGTAGGTGAAAGGGGGCCCCGATTATCTCACAAATTCATGAACCGATTTTCATTTTTTTTTCACCAAACATTTTCTTTTTTCATGCTCTTTCATTTGATATGTCACAAGTGGTAGCTTGCTATTAAAAAAAAATAAGTTCCGGGGTGGGAGGGGGGGAATATCTCACAAGTTTATGAACCGATTTTAATTTTTTTTCATCAAACATTTCCTTTTTTCATGCTCTTTCATTTGATATGTCACAAGGGGTACCTTGCTATTTAAAAAAAATTAAGTTGGGGGCAGGGGGAAAGGGGGGGAATGTGAATGTAACGTTGAATTAAAAAGAAATTTGGCCACCTACGTCAATAGATGATTCCCGCAAACTGCATATTTCTATCTATTGCGGTTTTTACATAAATAAAGATGCAAGTTTTTAAATAAACACCCTGTATAAAGACTGTATAAAACTTCTGGTCTTTACTCCCACATGAACAATTAATTGCAGTGGGAGGTTTGGAGCGCCCTGGGGCATGGATGGCCCTAGTCGCCCCCCCCCCCCACCCCCAGAAAACATTTTGAAAAATAATAACTGTAAACTAGTGTTTTTATGCAATCTACACATAATCTGTAATATTAAAACGCAACATAGTTTTTAAAACATAAAATGGTATTTTAATTGGGTTTTTTATTTAGCCTATTTATTTTGATAAGGGTGTTTGAAAATAAAAACATGAATTTAAATTTAGTTCATTGGACAGAGCTTATCCTTACTTAGAAACCTCGTTAAAACAGGATAGCTTTACCAAGTGCACGTAAACAGTGGGAACTGAGCAAAGGACGCGAATTTACAAATGGCAGGTAGATTTTGATGATGTCTAAGCACTTGCCCGTTTGGGCATTATCTAAGGCATAATTGAACAGTACAAACATAAATTAATCCTTTCCTACTTTTACAGGATTTTTACAGCTTTACCTCAACTCTCTGTTCAAAATTTACCACCTCACCACCCGCATACTTTGTAGAAATTTTTTTAACTGAATTCATAGTTCATTATTAGCACTAAACAACACTTCTAAATAAACAGTAATATATTAATGAATAAACAACTCGAATACCGGCGCGCGCAACATAAACATAACCTCACTGATCAGTGATCTCATAATAATTGTGTTGACAGATCACAACACTCAGCGCTCAATGTGGCAATACTGCAGTTAAAACTACTGTTAGGACAGAGTCCTAAACGCCCTATATCTGTTGCATTAGAGCCTGATGGAGCGCTGTGATTGGTTGAATATTTCCATGCGGTTTATATGGGAGTTTGGACTCATACCTTCTGAGTCCCATCGCACTATCTGTTGCAAAAACATGTAGCGTCCACTACTACCCAAGTACCCAAGCCAGACACTGCGGCAAATCCCCTCGGGAGCATTCAGACACGGTTCGGCCATCATCGGCTCTACCCCCACCACTCCCTTAGGTCGCTAACTCCAAGACACCTGCGCCAAATCCTCTCGGGCCATACCTCCCCCCTCCCCATCACTTTCCTTCCGCCCCTACCACACTTGACAACATAGTAAACAAAATCCTAGCCTGGCGCCGCCCTCGCCCTCTAGTGCTTGCCGCCCTGGAATGACTGCTCCACTCACTCCACTGTCGCGACCTACTGGGAAAATTCCTTCTGGCAGCAAAACAAGTGGAAATTGCCCATCGCAAAGACTGTGCTGTATGTCTTTGCAAAGACATTCCATGATGAAAGAGGTTTTTTTCATCATGGACGTTTCTCTTGTTTCTCCATTCGGTACAGAAAGCCCAAATTGAAGCAATTTACTGTCACTCATGAGACCTCTAAATTTAATTATTATATTATATAAAAAATAATTTTATATTATATAAAAACTCAAAAATAACCCACCCATTATGTCAATTCACACAAAAGCACTCATCACAGTTCAGTTCAGTTCAGTTCTTTCACAGTTCATTTAAAATAGGTCCCTCCCAACAATCTCTGCCTTAAGTATGTGAACTCCTTCACCTCCAGAGCTTCAAACCAGACCTGATCGAGATATGATTCAAACCCACAATCTACTGTGCTTTCTTAAGTTCGGAGAACCAACGCCTTAGATCGTTCCATTTTGATCAAATGAAACAGTCTACCATACTTGTCAATCAAAATCCCATTTGTTATAGTTTAAGGCTGTAGCAAATACCAGGGATAGTTCTTGTTGAGTTATACTCACATTGATTATTGTTTGAGGGAATTTGATAATGACCTTATGTTACCTGTGTAATATAATGTGTAAGTCTTCTATTATTGGCTGTTATATCTCAAATGGTTGACAGTAAATTGAAAACAACAAAATCTGTTGCATGTTAACCATAAGTACTTACGATCCAGTGAGGTCATGTTGAACTTGAGTGAAGAGAGTGATAGAGAGTCAGAAGATGGGTAACTCTTGGTGACTGACAGTAGTTGAGGTCTCACTCCTGTGCCAACCATCTGAGCCATCTCCAAGTGAGAGATGCACTTGATGATGTCCAGCCATGAACTGCCTAGGTAGTTGCCTACAACAAACTCACTCATGTTAATATTATGAAAAAAACTACTATGTAGCAGGTTATATGGTTTGGAAGTAAATAACTTTAAAATACTCTTTAACTAATAAATAAACTAAATAGTGCCAAGAACACATTACACAAACCACTGATGTTTAGGTGATAAGGAGTAGGGGAATTATGCTTCCTGACGTCATCCCAAGCATCCTATTGGGTTGGTCACTCATCTCAGGAAAAAGTGGTGTTAATCCAAGAACGTAAAAATGTTCAACCATCCCTTACATTTTATAAGGAACCACATTCTTTAACGCTGTAAGCCTCAAGAAACCTTCATTTTCTAGCTTTGATGAGTTATCAAATTTTAAATAGGTTTTAAATAGGTTTTTTGTATTATTATTTTAATAAATTTTACCAAGTCTCCGACCAAACCTGAGACTTCATTTTGCATTAGTTTTTAAAAGACATTATGATACATTTACATACAACAAATATACAGAGTCTCAAACGTGTGTATAAGTAAGAGACTCACCATCAGTGTGTGCGACAGTGATGAGTGTCTTGATGGTGTCAATGTTCTTGGCCTTCATCTCTGTGATGGGAGAGTTAGCCGTCAGCAGAGTGAACCTTGCTAGAGCCTGGACATAGGCGTCTCTCTCCAACTGTCAACAATACACACACAGTCAGTGGCTTAAATGGTACCGTAACTGTGAAACCTAGCCCATGTCTTGGGTTCACATCCCAATACTAACACAAAAATCTATTGTACAGAACATTCTTTTACTGAACCAGCTCACCTCTTGCGTTGCTCAACACGTCTTTGAGGGCTGTAGGAGGGCAGTTGAAATATTAAAAAAGCTGCTGATCTCTTTTTTTTCCCATTGATAATTTTGGCAGTTAGGATTTGAATATTGTTTTGTTTTAAAATAATTAATTGACCCTACATTCAGATTTTTGTTTTCTGTCCGTCTGCTGAAAGTTTTACAAAAGAAAAAAATGTTTTCAAATTACTTGTTTCCATTTAAAATTTGTTCTAAACTTTTTGGGGAGATATATTATGGTTTTGAGTAGCTAAAAATATGCAGGTAGTCAATCCCAATTTCAAACTCCAATATTTACATCTAGATGGGTAACTCAACGTCAAAATTGTGAACACAACATCATATCCATGATACACAATTTTGATGATGAACCAAACCTCAACAAACAATAAAAATGCCTTAGATTCATATGCTATTTGTATGTGTCAGAGTTACTCACGGTCATGTGGAAGATGCAAGCAATCCGGACAGCACATCGGATACCATCCAGACATAGGGTGGCTATCTCCGGATCATCACAATCCTGCAGACCGACACTGAAGGCTGCCAGGAAAGGGGTCCACGCCAGCCTGAACATGGGCTTGACATGCTCCAGATGCTTAGCGGAGGTGAATGGTGCCTACAGTCAACAAAGGACTATGATTGATGAGACGGATCTACGTAATATTGCCAACAATACAACAAGCATAAGGTTTATCTCAAACCTAGTAATCATGTTTATTAATGCAAACTTGAAATTATTTTATTGTACTCGACTAAAAGGGGTTTTAGAAAAATTAGGAGTATGCGAGATTGAGTTTGTGAGGAAGAGTAAAATTAGACTAAGATGGTTTGGAGGAGTCAGAAAACATGTGAAAAGAGTTACTGGAGTACTGACATAGCTAAGGGCTTTTGATTTTTTAAATTCTTAATCCTAGTACAAGTTGGTTTAAAAGAGAAGGATGAATGACGAAGCCTATTTCATGTAATATGATCAATGGTGAATGAAGATTTCTGATTTCTGAATGAATGAACTATTAAGAGGGGTGGGAAAAATATAAACTGAAGGGAAGGAGAGACTATTATGAGTCAAACAAGGTGAAATAATATGAGGGACTAAGATGTCGCGAGAGATGTAGTTGAAACAGTTTCAGGGGGAGAGTAGAAAAAGTGTGACTAAAATGGATTGGAAAAGAGAGAAGTTTGTAATAAAATATAATTTTTATGGAAATAGAGTTGGAGTTGAGGGTGATGAAAGGAGGCATAAAGAAGATCTAGAAGAAGGGGGATAAATGAAATGGAGGGGGATCTGGAGATTAGAAGAGTAAGATGGTTGGTAGTTTAGGAGAAACTGTGGGGAGATAAGAGGATGGAGATGCCTGGTCATCATCCAGACTCGGGAACGTTCACTATTGTATATTAAACACCAACTTTAATAACAGTTATTTATTAACAAGTTTAACAAGGATTCATAATGTAAAGATGAAGTAACTCTAACTAAGTCTTACTTTGTTTGTTTTTGCATTCATAATAAACAAAGAACATTTAATTTGATATTATCAGCTGATTGTATGTACAGGATATAATAATCTTCCCTGGAAAAGAATCAGTTTATTGCCTCTCCAGTATTCTCTGAGATCTTCTTATTACAGATGATGGATAAAATTTCTTTGTCCTGTATGATGCTTGAGGAGAGTCATTTGGTTTGTTTACCACTTGAGCATGTTTCTGTGACTCAGACTCTGAGGCTTCGTCGGACTGTTCATTTACAGATACTAGTGTAGAGCGCATTTGATCAACATGGCATTTAACCATTAAACCTTCAACTTCAACTTCATAATGGCAGTTTCCTAATATTTTGACCACCTTACCAAATTTCCATTTAGGATTATTACTTCTGTAGTCTCGAACTTGAACGTTATCGCCGGTGCTAAAACATCTCAAGGTACCAACTCCTTCTGTGTCAGAGATCCTTTTCGCCTTTAGCAGATCAATTCTCGTACGTATACTCCGTTTGAACATCATCTCCGCAGGGCTTCTTCCGGTGCTTATGTTCATAACTTTACGGGTTTGTAGAAGGAATCTACATAGGTTTGTATGGATGTCTCCAGATTCTTCAGCCATTGCACTTAGTTTCCTTTTTAGAGTTTGTACATAACGTTCCCCTTGTCCATTTGAAGCTGGGTGATATGGTGCCATCAGTTTATGTTGGATACCATTGGATTCCATAAAATGTTTAAATTCATGTGAAATGAACGCAGGACCATTATCACTAACAATTGTACTTGGAATGCCGAATCTTGCAAACATTTCTCTTAAGATTTTTATAGTAGAGAAACTAGATATGCTTTTTGTTTCCTTTACTTCCAACCACTTTGTATATGAATCTACTGCTATGAAAAAGTATGTACCTCTGAATGGTCCTGCATGATCTATGTGCACCCTTTCCCAAGGAATATTGGAGTTTGGCCATGGTTCATGGTACTTTGGAGGATCGTTTTTATTCAATGCACATGGTTTACATGAATTTACATAGTTTTCTATGTCAGAATTCACTGTAGGCCACCAACAATATTGCCTGGCTAGCTCTTTCATTTTTGTTATGCCTGTGTGAGCTTCATGTAGTTCTTTCAGAATAGTTTTTCGTAAAGTACATGGAATTACAACTCGAACTCCTCTAAATAAACATCCATTTTCAATTGACAGTTCTCCCTCTAAACCTTTGTATTGTTCAGGCTTCGTAATGTAAGAGGATGTCATTAGTGCATTGTAAACCAACTTTAATTCTGGATCGTTCATAGTTTCCCTTCTTACTTCATTACTTGTGACAGGAAGGGAATTCAGTTGTACTTGTAAAAGGTATTTGTCTGATACTGTTTCATCTAAGGTTTCTTGATGATCACATGTATTGTTAACAGGAAACCTTGATAGGAAATCTGCGTTGACATGATTCGATGCTTTACGATACTGTATTTCGTAGTCAAAACCTGACAGAAATAGAGCGTAGTGTAACATTCGAGTGGCGGTTAAGGGTGGTAGGCATTTTGAGGGATGGAAAATAGAAGACAATGGTTTGTTGTCGGTTATAAGTGTAAACTTTCGACCATAGCAGTAATGGAAAAACTTATGAACACCCCAGTATATCGCAGTCGCTTCCTTAATAATGTGGCTGTAATTTTGTTCTGCTTTACTTAATGTCCTTGAAGCAAAAGCTATAGGTCGTTCTGTTCCATCCGGCATCTTGTGAGATAAAACAGCAGATAGTCCATGAGGCGAAGCGTCCGTTGCCAGTATCAGTGGTAGGTTTGGTGAAAATGTTGTAAGAACCCTCTCTGATGTGATTTCCTTCTTAATGCCCTCAAAAGCATCATTACATCGTTTTGTCCATGTATAGGTTTTCTTCTTATGGAGTAGTTCATATAATGGATGTATCTTAGTTGCGAGGTTGGGTAGAAACCTGTGATAATAGTTTACAAGCCCAAGAAACTGCTTCAATTCAGTAACGTTAGTGGGTATGGGACATTTCAAAACAGCTTCTATCTTATCATGGCTCTTATGCAATCCTTTTCCATCAATTTTGTATCCTAAGTAGTTCACAGACTCTTGAAAAAACTTACTTTTATTCTTGTTTATGTGCAAGTTGTTTTCCTTCAAACGTTCCAAAACCTTGATCGTGCGTAGTTTTGTTTCTTCAATAGTCCTTCCTTGAACTATTATATCATCAAAGAAAACAGCAGTACCTTCCAGTCCAGTTAAAACTGAGTCCATGTAGCGTTGCCATATGTTTGGAGCTGTTTTTATTCCAAACATAAGTCTATTTACCTTAAAAACTCCCATATGAGTACTTATGGCTTGAAGGTTGGCACTATCATCGTCCATTTGAAGGTGTAAATACGCCTTATGTAAGTCCAAAGTTGTAAAGTATTGTCCTCCATTTAACTTGTCAAATATCTCTTCAATCTTGGGAATAGGATAGTGATCATTTTGCAGTTGGGAATTTACAGTTACCTTATAATCAGCACATATTCTTACTGTTCCATCTTCTTTCAATATAGGTACTATGGGTGTTCCCCATTCTGAATTGGTTACCTTTGAAATGATGCCCTTTTCTTCCAGTAAGCACAATTCGTCTTCTATTTTAGTTTTTAATGCAACAGGAGGGACACTGTATTTAATAAAAATGGGTCTTGAATCAGGCTTTAATGGAAGATTGACTTGTTTATCTGGTGCAATTCCTACTTCTTTTGTAAATAGGGATTCATATGTGTCAAAAATGTCTTGTTTTATATTATTTTCCTGTAGGATGTTTTGCTTGTAAGAACTAGGACTCGCCATGTGATTTACGTCATGAATAGATATGTCAAAGTTACGAATCCATTCGCGCCCAAATATATTATCAACATGTTTTTAATTTAGGTGTTCACTTAATAGGGCTGCTGATATATTAAATATTTAAGTAAATAAGTACAACTGAGCACCCTGAATATTCAATATATTCAGGGTGCTCAGTTGTACTTATTTACTTAAATATTTAATATTATCAACATTATTTTGTACAACAAAAATTCTACCTACCATTGTTTTTGAACCTAACTGAACTTTAACTTCACTTGTTCCACTTAACTTAATCGATTCCCCTGTGTAGGTTTTTAGCTTAACATTTGGGACTTCTGTAATTTTCTTGTGTGGGAATAATCGTTTGAAGGTACTTAATGACATAGATGATACAGCAGCTCCCGTATCATACTCCATTGAGCATTGTACTCCATCTAGAAGCGGTGTTACTAAGTATTTGTCATTGAATTTGGATGACAAAGAATTGAGTTGTAGCTCTTCAGTGATAGTGAAAGAATTACTTGTACCATCTAATTCTTCATTTTCACTGGAATAATCTTTTTCCGTAGAGTCCATTTGTTTTTGAAATGCTTTACCTTTGTTCATTTTACTCGCCTTCAAACAAACAGCAGCAGTATGACCCTTACCATTGCATGTAAAACAAGTGGCATTACGTAGCTTGCATTCATTTGCTTTATGGTTAGATTTACCACACCTAAAACACTTGCCTTTCAAATCATCTATTGATACAAAGCTGTCAGATTTTGGTTGTTTTTTTATGGTTTTACTAATTTTATTTACAATAGCTGGTGATGACATTTCATTGTTACCTTGTTTCGATATCTCGAAAGATAAGGCTAACTCATACGCCCTTTGTAAAGTCAAGGAATCTTCTTGAAGAAGCCTTTCTCTTATCTCTTTGCTGTATAAACCTCTAATGAACTGGGTGCGTAAGTGGGTGTCAATCGTACTGGATTTGCATTTTGAACAGGAAAAATTACAGTGTAGAGTCATGCTACGAAGTTCTTTCATGTATGTGGAAATAGATTCACCCGATTGTTGTGAACGTGTGTAAAACTTATGTTGTTCAGCAACTTCATTTGGAGTTGGACAAAGGTAATCTTTGAGTAGCTTGACCAGTTCATTATACGATTTAGTATGTGGTAAGTCTGGGGCGCATAAATCATTTAAGAGTTGAAAATTCTTCGGACTAAGGCAGCTAATTAACACCTGCACACGTGTTTTGTCATCATCCTCTCCCCCTAATCCATTCTATTCAAGATAGTTAGTGAGCCTAAGTAAGTAGGTTGTAAATGTTTCATTACCTTCATCATAAGGTTCCAACTTTTGAAGTGGGGGACGAATCTTTTGTTCCTTTTCTTCACTAAACTTCTCTTGTAGAAATAACAGTAATGCTTGATTTATTTCTCTTTGACTCGTCGCCATTATTGTATATTAAACACCAACTTTAATAACAGTTATTTATTAACAAGTTTAACAAGGATTCATAATGTAAAGATGAAGTAACTCTAACTAAGTCTTACTTTGTTTGTTTTTGCATTCATAATAAACAAAGAACATTTAATTTGATATTATCAGCTGATTGTATGTACAGGATATAATATTCACAACCAATGACGATATGTAAGGACTATGATGAATGTGTGGAGGAGTTAACCTTTTAATATGTGACAGACAACAGGCAAATTAATTATATTTTAAATAAATGAAAGACTTAACAAGGAAGTTGAAAGGAAAAAGTGTTGTCATAAGCACTGGGGTAACAGATAGCAAATAACTGGGGTAACATCTAAGAAAGTTAATCTGAAATTATTTACATTATACTTGACAAATAAATAGTTCAATTTTTTTACCTGCACATGACTAACAGACTCCATCAGGTTTTTGGCTGCTGTAGAAATCACTTCCATTTCCATGTTCCAAAGAAGTCTTCTTTTCTTTTCACTAGATATCACTGGTAAAGATAAGATGATTTAGTTACAGAAACGTGTATTGTTTGATCAGGAATAATATAATTAAAGGTCATACTCCCAAGATTTAACTAGGATTAATCAAGGTAAATAATTCGGAGGGAAAAGGGCTTGGCTTAGGAATACATTAAGGAAGAGGAAACATAGACTATTTCGGTATCTAACTTAACGTTAACAATTTGGATTTAGACCTCAGAACCATGCAGAACCATGTTAGTCTGGGAAAAAGACAAGGAGAATTGGGGTGTAATGTTTTTAGGAAGGCTAGCACCCTTGTAAATGCCCTTTTTAAATACATGGCTTATGAGTTCTTCACACTGCACGGTGATCATAGAATAAGGTATACACGAGGTAAGGAAAAACACCCTTGGAGCGATGGCAAGGGACAAACACCTGCCTCAGACACAGCTAAAAGGCAGGATGCTGCTTCAACACGTTCTAAAGCAGCTTTTCTTCTTGTGTTAAGTAGGACTATTTTTTCATTCAGTTAAGCTTGCGATCCCAACAATTCCTTAAACACGGGTGCAAAAAAGACCACTATGTAGTCGAAGTTTAGGATTTCTGTCTACACTCACCTTGCTTGCCAGGCTTGCTAGTAGCCTTCATTTTGATCTCATGTCCAGCTATCTCGTCGTATATCTGGGACAAATACTCCTCTGGAAGGTCCTGATTGTCAGATATACCTCGATTCAGGCGAATGTATTGCTCCTTGGTCATCTTGTTCTTTACCTGAGGAGAGTGCAAATCTGTGGTCAACATGATCACAGAGTACGCTAGCACGTAGGCAGTGTCAGCACTTGCAAACAGTCCATTGCTGAAAAGGAAAAATACATTATTGTACAATTTTATTACTCCTAGCTCAAATTATTGAGTAACATCATCATCATAATTTATTCAGCAGCTACAGTCTCAACAGTGTGCTCGTGACCCTCTTCTCCTACCTTAGTATATTATCAGTGTTTGCCATTAACATGAAACAAGTCTATATCTATCATAAAAGTTGGCTACTGGTATGGTGTTTAAGGCTTGATTTATTACTCAGAGCATATTGACAACAAATTTAGGTACTCGTTACTGTTACACTACATGTGACAGCAGGGGATATGTTGATGACGGGAAATAGGTTCATGAAATCCTCTTAAATCCAATATCAATCTCTTAACGTTGTCTTAATAGTTGTCTTTCACATGCTGTAGTTTTTTTCATACATTGCTATGGCATGTATAGTAGGTATGTGAAAAGATTAGGCTATGAAATGAGAGTTGTAAGGCTATAGTGGTTTGGTCAGGTAAAAAGGATGGATGAAGAAAGAGTAGCAAAACGCTTTATAAATAAAGGAATTGATTGAAACTATCACAAGTAACGAACGTGCATTTCCCATTATGTATGAGAAGGGAAATCTCGTCTCGAAATTTTATGAGAAATAAAAATCCTGTCTCTTCTCGTCTCAAACTAAAAATCCAATCTCATCCATCCCTACTACTAAATAGTTTAAGAAATTGACTCTGAATATGTCTCACAATGCACACAGTTCCATAATAATTTAATGCTTGAAAAATATGTTGGAAAAAGAAAAATCACTAATTCATTACAACCATAAAAACGAATGTATATATCGCAACTAAGATCTAACAAACAATTACAAAGATAATACACTCACTTTGGATTGCATTCACAATATCTGCTTGCAAATTTTTCCATCAGCCGATCAATTTTTTGTGCTTCGCCTGGCAGTCGAAACCCTTCTAAGAAATACCTCAGTGCCGACACCATGTCTTTGCCGGCAAACTGCAGTTGGTCAACGTAAGCATACATGACCTGCAATATTTAAAATATAAAATTAATTTTACAGAAAATTTGGTTACTCCCATACTAAAGATGATCTTTTATTTACATAATGATGTAAAATAGGGCACACGAGCCCGTGTTTAAGGAATTGTTGTAGGGATTGCAGGCTTGACTGAATGAAATAAATAGTTCTACTTGGCCCAAGAAGCAATAGCTGTACAATATAAGGAATAATTAATATATTTCACCGTTGATAACAGCATTTTCAACCATGAAAAGTTTGAGTTGGAAAGAAAAATGTTTTCAAGTTAAATGGTCTTCTAAGCTTTTGTCACAGTGATGAACAAAATAAATTCATAAAAATGATAATCTATCTATATAGTTAATACAATAGATAAGGATGATAAGATATAAATACTAATAAAAATAACTCTTGACAAACTATATCTTCTTCATTCTGTTTTTAACAAACATGTTTTTAAATTATTCAATCTATTTGGTAAATTAACAAGGAGACATCCCACAACCTGGACAGTTTTAGTAAAAAACATCTTGTTCTTTAAGGATATCTATTATTTACTCTAGGTAGAGTAACAATATGTTTTCAGACCATTAACCATTTAATCTTTTCATTCTAAACTTATCTTTAAAAAAATAATCTATTATTGATAACTATATCACTTCATTTCCACAAGCATTTTAATATTTGTGTTAAAAAGGGTAAAATACATGAATCACAGTGAATGTTAGTATTTTACCTCTTTACTAAAATCTTCATTTTCGCCCAAAAAGTCGCCGATGCCAGTTTTATCTAATCTGTCGTCGATGTGCAGCCACTCAGCAACCTCAGAAGCTGTGGTTCCCAACAGACCTTGCTCCTGCAGAAAACTGATCCCCTTCTTGGGTTTCCGGTTGAACCTACAACACCAAGATGTAATGTCAACCCAATCTTTTACAAAAACAATCTTGGCATTTATAACAATTATTAGTTTTTAATGTTCACAGAGTCTATCAACTATAAAATAGGCTTTTTTAATTCTGTGGGTTTAAAGTCAAGTTATTTAGAAGAACTTGGATGGTTCAAATTCTAAGTAATCGGTAATTTATTTCTAACATCCAAGCATTTGAAAAAATAGGTTTGGTAACAAAGGGCTTGAAAATTGTGTTAATTACATGGCATTACATGGAATTACATCAGTATAATAAAAGGTTCATAACTCTGCTAATTTTTAGCAAGAGTCATGAGGATTTCTATAATTTGAAAACAGCACTTGTACGGTATCGAGAAGTTAACTGTGAATGATCAACTGACGGATAGGCTGGGAGCTTCCCAGACTGGAAAGCGACTAACCAATATAAGAGTGTGAAAAGGCGTTGCCAAGGATAGTGTCCCTCACCATCCTTGGCAACGCATTTTCCTTGCCAGCCTATCCGTCAGTTGGTCATTCACAGTTAACTTCTTGATACTGTACAAGTGCAGTTTTCAAGTCCCTGTAAGGGGAGGAGAAGACAATGACCAGACACATTGTTACATATTATTAGGCCTCATGTCAACACCGCATGCTGTTACAATGCCAGTTTTCGATGCATTGAATGTATTGATTCTATGTCGTCATACATTAATTTTAAGACAAATTTAAATTTTTCAAATAAAAATTTGAATTAGGCCTAATAAATTATATTGAAAATAATTTATAAATACAAATATTTTTTAAACATACCACGGTTTCAAACGCACTAAAAAGTAGAAAATAATTTATAAATATGTGGAGGGAATAAATACTTGTAAGATTTAAAACAAAAAACATGGGGCGCATGAAATAGCTAATTTACGAATACCCCCTCTGTATTATTATCTATTGCATGCCCCCTACGTTTTTTGTTCTAAATCTTACAATTAGCCTATTTATTCCCTCCATATATTTATAAATTATTTTCTACTTTTCAGACTTTTGTGTAAATATGTTAAATCTATTTAATATGGCCTGTTAATACATAGGCCTACCTAACCAAAAACTTATCATCTGTAATCAGATGTTTAATCTTTACTTTGAAATGTTTGTTTTAGTTAGAATCTCTTGGGAGCAGGACCTGTACCTCTTAACCACTGCTCTACTGCTCTTCAAACTGTCAAATTTAAGTATTTACAGCTGACTTCAATAAATTGATATATTTGACTATTTAAATTCTTCCAAAATGTAAACATTGCAACTTTGGGAGCCCACGGGGCTTATCCCAAGGAAAATATGAAAATAAAATAATTTAATATTGCATTGTCATCCATTTGTGGGCTATGTTGTTCAAGTTTCAAGTCTCTAGCTCATCGGGAAGTTAGAGTAAAATCGATTGCAAAATTTGTACCGGACAAGAAAGCGAGCTAATAAAAACGTTTTAATAGAGTTGTGGTTGAGGACTGAGACAAAGATTTGAACAAAATTCTTGAAATAAGGAAATTCTAAATAAAAACATTCAACTGCATATTTTTACTACTATCTTTGACCGCTTGACTACACTGTTGTGAATCATGTTAATTGAGTGGCACAAAATCTCTTCCCCAACCACTGTCGTTTTTGTTATTTTGTACAATAATCTTAAAACTAATTGCTGTTGTATTAATTTGGTATCACATGTGTCTAGTGTTGTTGCCATCCCAATTCCAACAATGTTTACCACACTCACATGTCTATCCCAGTCTCCCAGACTTCCTTTTGGTGTTTCAACACCTGCAGCTGATGAGGCGTGTCTGGGGCCTCTTTGTTGCCGCTGCTAGCAGAGTTGAGAGAAGTGGCACTACCATACGACCGCAGCGACTCCTTGGGCGTCGACGGAGGAATCAATTCTGACGTCTCACTGTCCCTCACGTTACGTTCCGCTCCTGAAATGTAATAATCATTTAGACATTTGGAGCACACCAGATAGAATATCTTTTAAATTAAGACTGATGCGTAAAGAAGAGGTGGTGAGAACATGAGGAAGATGGAGGTGGAAGAAGAAATTTTGCATTTGATGCAAATTGTTGGTGAGGCAAAAAAAAATTATAATTCGAGAGGCCACACAAGTAAGTATTTTCTAAAGCACTCTTGCCACAGATAGATCTTTTAGAAAATTCACAGTGTCAGTGGTTTTAAAGGGAAATTAAAAATGTATTTGTTTAAAAGAAAAGCTTCACATAGAATTTCTAAGTGTATAGACAGCATATATTGTGCGCTTGTTTGAAACATGTTTATATTTTTATAATAGTGATAGGTTCTCTAGCATTTGCGTACAATACTAGATTTGTTTAACGGGCTCATTGTATTCTAGAACAGTGAAGCTACAGTATAACCATTGACTTAACCTGAATTATTTTGTGACGAGTCTTATTTCTCAGAATGGGTAATGAAAAGTAAGAATTTATTTGTAACACATGAGATTCTGTATAAAATTTTTTTTAATATATATATATATATATATTTTACCAGATTTTTTTACAAACAAAATTTATTTTTTTAATATAAATTATTATAATAGTAATTTTACAAAAAATAGTAGAAGACTGTAAAATTGGAAATTAACAATTAATTTTTAAACAAAAAAATTTGGAATCCCAGCTCCATCTTCAAATTCTCTCGCTGACCGCCATTTCTTTCTTGTTCTCCTCAAACCCATACTGGTTGACAGTACGAAATAAGCAGTTTCCATCTTTTTCAACCTTGAAGATTGTAAAATATTGTGCAGGTATCATTCTTGGTTACGTCTGTTTATAGGTTAGGATAAAATATTTCTTTCATTTTTATCCATATTCTTCTTAAAGATAAAGTAATTTACATAATTCAAATTTAGGAATAGTATTATAGGGATGTTTAATCTGTTTGAATTAAATTCACCACTATATGAACGAATAGTTGATAATGATTTATTTACAAAGTTCATTTTGAGCTGTGATGATCGCTTGTATGTTAATAGGGAGACGACGTAGCCAGAGTGCTCGAAGGATGTTGTCCTGTAGTTGGGCTGGACCGATCAGAGTATGTAGGTGGCGTAAGAACTGCAATGGCTTGCGATCTCCAATATCTTCGTCGCTGATCAACTGGCGTACACATTCTTCTTCACTAGTAGACAACCTTTCAATAAGCTTCGAACGAAGTACAGCGTAACGATTCGTTGCAGGCGGATGTGTGATGATGTCCTCTACTTCCACTGGGTAACGTGTTTCAAGCTGAGAAACGACGTAGTGGAACCGAGTGTCATGGCTTGTGATGCCTGAGATGGCGAACTGGGAATCTACCTGAGCAAACCATAGACTAGGTCGATCGGCCCAGAATGGTGGAAGCTTTACTGCAACTCGATTCACTGATACATTACCAGGGTCGTTGCGTTGCTGAACGTTGGTAGATAGTTCATCTTGTTGCTCTCGTATATTCGCCAATTGAGCTTCGATTTCTTCTAGCGACATTGGTAATATTGATGAAGGAATGTCGTGTTTCTGGTTGTTGTTGTTCGGGGTCACCAATATATAGGGATGTTTAATCTGTTTGAAATAAATTCACCACTATATGAACGAATAGTTGATAATGATTTATTTACAAACGAATAATGAAGTGTACTAAATCATGACGTAGTCAAAACTAAATGTTTAACAAAACTAGCAACAGCTGTTACATAATAAATATTAAATAAAGTATAGACCAAAGGCATCACAGATGTGGCTAAGTTGACGCCACAGTATGTTTAGTAAAATAAAAACATACCATAGAGCTAATAATAAACTGATAATAAACCAATTTATAGTGAAAAAATTACAATGTTTTGTTTATTACAGTACAGATGTTATCAATTTGAGTATATATATTTGAGTTTTATGATTCTGGATTAGGTTTTCAAGGATTTGGATTTAGATTTGAGAACTCCTATATTTTACCACCCAAAATTGAATAAAATGGTTGAATGAGAAAAACTGGATGGTAGATAAAGATGAAAAAAGGTGAAAAGTGAAAAAAGTGTTACTGATTTAGTACTGGCAAAGACAAATTTTATTCACTAGTCACTAATCTATGTACTAACCAAGGTTAGTTTGAGAGTTAGGATTGACGTAGACGTCTCTGCTCCACTCCACCATACACTTGAGTATAGACACTAGACACTCTAGACCCTTGATCCTCATGGACTTCTCTTGGTTGGGAGTTGCGCCCAGCTCCAGTGCTTGACGACCCTGAGCTATTTTGGACAGGTCGTTCACCAATCTATCAACAGAGATACACCTTCAATTTGAGTAAAGTCCTACTAGTGCGCTCACGAGCTCCAACCTAAATGTGAGTGAGCGTAGCGAACGAACTTCAACCAGGACGTGAATGAGCCATGTGAACGAGCTCATCTTGAAAATTAAGAAGTTAAACGGGGCAAAGCCCGCGGGTACAGCTAGTAAAGACCTAAAGCTAAAATTGAAAATTTGTCGAAGGGAGACAATAAATCAGATTACAAAAAAAGGGTTCTGCTAAACATTTTAAATCTATTTTTCAACGCCAGTGGCATTTTTTCAAGAGTGTACTTAACCTTTTTATATTTTGTGTGGATAAAACAAGAATTGGACGTTTTCTTCTGGTGGCAATCATTAATATGCTAACCACTAGCTTTGACTGTGGATAGAACTTAACATTCTATTACTATACTAAAGTAATTTTTGGAATTAAAATTACCATTAGATCGAACCACTGACAGATGCTGATGACTATTACTGATTTCTTTAGAAAACGCCAACTCAAAACTGCAAACTATACTAGGTGAAACCCGTTGATTTCGAGCAAAATCATTTAACTATCAATGGAGAGTGAACAACTCGATTTTTAGAGTATTTTGAGTTGTTCGTGATTCATCAGCGTGCTTTAAGCACGTACGATCTTAATAATCAATAACGCAAATGAAAGCTGGTACTGTATTTTACTGAAGGTTCTTGCAGGGTAATGTAATTAGAGCTGGTGAAATACATCTCTAACTGAATTAAGAATTTGGAAAACAAATTGAATTTATGTGTTTTGGTTGAGCAGTACAGTAGATAAATCTATGATGATGCTTGATGGCAAATCTGTGCGTGCATACCTTTAATTTAAGACCAAAATTGTGAAAATTGGTAGAGTAGAAGAGCCAAACCGACTTGGAAAAGAATAACCAATAATTTGTAATTATCTTTTATGTTACTTCAACTATTAAAGTAGATAAAACTAAGTGATAGAATAGATTACCATGTAGAATACTCTGAGTAGCTCATCCAACTATATAATTTTTTTATAAAATATTTTCTACAGCTGGACCATATAGATGGAATGTTTACTTCAGCATCCAAAACCAATGCCAATAGGTTAACAACACACAAAATAACTATTATTTTAACCTGTACAAGTCTCTTTACCTTTCAAACAGATTGGCGGCGGCCAGGTCACAGTCGTAGTTGACGTACATGTCCACAACACTCTGTGCGTCTGCGCAGATCCTAGTCAACGCTTGGATGACCATCCACTTGTGCTCAAATGAGGAACTAGATGTCTCCAAGATACTGAGGAAGATCTCCTTGAAGAACACCTGGAGATATGTGTGAGTCAAGAGCATTGTTGCATTTACACTTAGGCTTGGTTAGTAAATTACAAAAATTGTGTTTTTTTACTATTCATATTTGGAGTATACCTGATATGGTTACTAACCTGATAATTTATCGGATTCAAATTTAGATAACTAGAAAATGTAGCAGGGATACAGTATAATAAATCTTTATATTTACTAAACACACGTGTTTCCGGTAACAGTGATCCAATCATTACTTTCCTATTTTCAGGCTCCTTAATATCAAACATATAAAATTTTTTGATAGTTTTTTCACTGGTCTTTTGACGTTCAACATATCAAAGCTCCACTGTATAAAATTGAGTTCTGTTACTGCTGTAAACCAACCTCGATCTGCATCTTGAGGTGCATTTTGAAGCGCGACAGCAACGCCAAGAAGATGGCCAGAGACAGTTCAAACACCTCTGGCACGGAGGAGACTCCGTTCTTGCTGAGCGCCACACACAGATACTGCTTGATGGCCGTCACAAACATGATGTTGGCTCGGAACACTGGACCAGCTGACTGGAGGATCGATAACAACAAGTGGAGTGAGAGAATCTTGGAGCGCAACTCGTGCGACCTATCAACAACGGTTAGAACTGGAATATTGTTATCACTTTTATAGAACCAGGATTGTGTGACATGGCAAATAATGAGTAAAGCATATTTTGTCAGACTATCCTTGGCAAGTATAAGTTAATCTTGCTACGTATATGTTTCGGAGGTCATTTAGAACAACTCTGCATTAATCACGCTATAAAAGGGATCCACCTCTTAAAAGGCGATGTCAGAATAATAAGTTAAACATAAAAACAGTTTGCACATGACAAAAAAAAAAAGGAAAAACATCACTGATAGGTACATTGCCACGGGCAGTGATGGAAGACTGAAATATTTTACTGGCAAGAAACAATTCAAGGCAATTAACATTGCTATTGTGCCACAAACAATTTAGTCAACCCAGAAATTTGTAATCTTAAACTCAAATCCTAAAAATCCTTATTCAAATTACGAGTACAAGTAAAATTTCTAGATTATAAACTTAAAAGTCATTATTTGACTTTGAATCTAAACTAAATTATAAGTGATTTCCAAAGCTCCTAAGACCATAAACCAAATCAAAAATTGTACGAATGGCCAAGTCCAAAATCAACTCATGTGACGACATCAATGTCATAGTCATTTTCCAGCACTGCAAGATTCCCATTCTAAAAAATGCCAATTAACTTTCAAATTACTCTCCCTACTTAACAAATATATGGATTGTAAAAGTGTGGGAAAATATAACTACTTAACTTAATATAACTTGAGATTTGATTCTTGAATCCAACTGATCAAATATTGGATTTAAATCAAATCAAAAAAAATCAAATCATCAAATCATGTTTATTAGCACATAAACGTACAGAGGTTTTAGATAAATGCACAGGTGCTTCGTCATTCTTCTTATAGTCTAATATTATATAATGTCCTTTTTTACAATGTATTTATTAATAATAAATAAAATAGTTTTTTAACATTTGAGGAACTCTTTAAATAGACTAGTCAAAGGTTTAATAAAAAAGATAACGTCAAGCTTAAAACTAAATAACAAGATTTATAGAATTTAATTATAAATAAAACATAAAAAATGTACAAAACATGTAATTTTGTATTCCATTGTAAATATCTTCTACAATGGATTACAGATCAGATTTCACTACTTAGCTAATCACATTAGTTACAGCCTCACACTGAAAGGAAAAAATGGCTCCACCCAGCAACAGTTTACATAGTATTTGCCACACAATATTATATTCATCCATTTACTTTACATACCTATATTTTTTTATTAGATTACCTACAACTTTATAAAAATACACTAAGTTTGGATTGCATCACAACTCTTTACAAATATTTTTAGAATTATTTATCCGTCATCATAAAAATAAATAATTAAGGGTTAATAAGTCTCTTTACTTAACAAACAAAAGCAATAAACATTAGGGTTAGGGTTAAAAACATTTGTCATAAAACTAATTCAAGTTCCTAAAATGGCATATAATTTGTGTGAAAAATAGTTTTGGTAACAAAGGCTGTTTCAATCAAAATACAATTAACATTTTAGCTAGGCGTAACCAAACAGTGCAGTAGTGCAAAATGTAATCAGTTATCGTTATTGAGTTTAATGATAAATATGCAATCAACAAACACTGATAATGAAATAATCCAGCAACTAGATAGGCTACATCCCATCACACATGGGTACTTATGGTAAAACAAGCACTCACGTGTGTTAGCGAGTGACTGTACAACTATGCAAACATACCCCTGCTGCAGCAAACCTACAGACTAACCTAATTTATATTTGCTTGATTGGATTCTTTCAAGTAAACATTATAACCAAACCAAACTGAAAGTAATACTTGTTGTAAACTATAGGACTTATGTTCTGTCAGATCAACTATCACAGTAACAGCATTTAAAGTAGAAAATAGAATGCTTAGCTAGCACACTCCGTGAGTTAATCATTCAAGTTCTATTTCAATGGAAAAATTGGCTACAGCTAGACCTTATAGATTGAATGACTACTTCACTATTCAACATTCAATGGTACTACTAAACAAGATTTAGCCTTCAAATGACTTACTTGGGGTCCGGCTGACCTTCCGAGAGTGGTTTCATGGAGAGTTTGCACAAAGCTCGGAAAACGAGGAAAGCATCCTTCTGCAGAATATGAGTGAACTGAGGAGACGACTTGCTGTCTCCGTCATTGCTAACGTCTACACTTTCCTGTAAAACAAATATTGTAAAACAAATAATGACAAAACATGATTGTAAATTAATTACTCAAAATTTAAATAAAAAAAAAAGTTTAAAACTTGTACACTCTCGTTAATCCACACGTATTCAGGACTTTGGCAATGCCAGACTATTGAAAATGTTGGATTACTGAACGTCTTCTAAAAATAGCTGTTATTGTGTGATTAACAGAAATATTGCTATGTATAGAGCGTTAAAAGGAAATCTCATATCTTTATTAATCATTAAATAACATGTTTTACTGAAGATTTTGTCAATTTATAATCATATCCATAGTTATAACTCAACACTACAACTAGACCTGCAGCATGGATGACATTAAACAATTATTATACATTAAACATGACATAAATTGCTGGCCGATGGGCCATTATTCCGTTTTTCATAAAGCTATCACTTATTTTAAAATAAAAAATGGTAAAAAATGGAAAAAATAAAGCACTTTAATTTTTTTTACAGCAAAGTTATTTCCTAATGTAAGCGGAATCAACACAAAAACTCAAGGCTTTGGTACCAACCATAATAGTCAGTAGTAAGTACACAGGAGAAATCTATCATCTGCCGGACATCCATGTTTATTTCTCAGTATAGTTTTGTTGTCATGAACAATTATCATTAATTTTTAAAACATAATGAGTGGTTACTTGTGTGTTAACTAAAGATGATTCACTCAATAAATTCCAACAAAGGTGCAGTCCCAAAGTGTCCTAAGAAGAGGGAGTCTACCACAAAGTGATAACAAATTGTTACACATATGTTTATATACTTCCATCTCACATGGACCCACCTGTGAAGGCACTCTTGTTAGAGAAACACCGTTAGCTTCTTGGTTGGCAGAATCACCACTTTCTGATCCTGTTCTGGCTTTCTCCTCACAGCCTGCAAGAGAAACAGGAGATTAGGAATATTTCAACCTACTTCAGTCAAACCTTCCTATAATGGATCTGGAAAGGCAACAGAATAAATTTGTTTTATCAAGTGATAAGTTATATGACGAGACAAGTAAGTCTATGTACTTAAGAGAACAGATTGGGTGGTTTAGACATTGAAGTTCTTCACCCGGAAAGAAACAATGGGGTTGATCTTCTTCTCAGTTAATAAATATCACAATCTCAGGCTTGCTTGCAGAGCGAGATACCGTGATGGGTTGCATGACTTGGATCCGTTCTGGCTCTTAATGTGCTCAAGGTCTGACTGTGATGCTTTTTAAACAGCAACTAGTTTTAAGCACTAGATACCATGTAAGCTCGTGATGGTAACACACCTATGACTACAGCGTCGACCACACTGTTCAGTAGACTCTGTACAACCTCCTGACTGCTCGGCTCAGTGGTGGAGGGTAGTGGAGGAGTGGGGGTAACTGACGGCAACTCCAGCGACTCAACCACCTCCGGTGTGTCTTTCATTCGACTGACCTCGTCCGCCTGTCACAAAACAATAATTATTCAGCAATTTTTCAAATGATGATTGTCAGATCCAAGAATTTTTAATCTTTAAATTCTACGAACAGTTTTTAGAACATACAAAGGAAAATTGATTCACAATATTAGTTTTAAGATTGTACCTACTATCAAATTTAAGTGCCTACGCCAAAATTACAATAACTCTATATTGATTGATAATGAGAAATTTCAACCTCAAGAAAACAATCTTCTAAAATTGAACATTCCTTCTTGTCAACTTTAAGACTTTAATTGATTTTAAAAATGGTTTAAACGAGAATTGCAGCAATATTGTGGTAAATCTTAGCCACTGCAGAAACACCCGTGAGTGTTTTTTAAATCTTTGCGACACTGTAATTCTATTGTCTCCAGCAAAGAAGGTGACATTGATGATTTCCCATGATTGTGATTTCTTACTACACACAACAACATTAAAATTAAATGCACTATAAGGGGATGCTGTTAGGGGACGAAGTACTCCTAGCCCTAGGGTATTGATGACTAATCCAAATTATCCGGTCATCGACATTCATGTAGTCAGCTGGGCATTCTCAGAGGTCCCTACAGAGCTACTCTAAGATATCGACTTTACAGAGCTATTCACTTTAGTTTTGGGAGGACAAACTATTTATTGTGTATATATATGTCCCACCTCCACAAACTGGGACACTAGGCTCCTACCCAGAACCGTTTTACACATTTCAGTACTTCAGGCTTGATCTAGATGGTCGCCGCATTATGAATAAGATAAAATCCATTTGCGGGATTTAAACCCAGGATCTTGGGGACCAAAGTCATGTGCTCTCCAGCACAGCTCGCTCACACACTAAGACACTCACAGCTTGGCTCTCCATCCTAGCGAAGATGACGTTGAGCATCTGTGTGAGTGTGGCGCGTGCAGTCGTCTGGTTGATGAGGTTCTTGCTGGCTAGGTAGATGTTGTAGACGGTCCTCACTGCTAGCAGCACTGTGCCCTCGTGTACTTCCACATGCTGACTCGTCACTACGGTCAACAAGGCCTGTGACATACAAGCCATCAGTCAGTCATCTCATATACTTGATAATCCAACATAAACCGGCCAATGCAACGTTGGATAGCATAGAAAATACCTAATTATTAAATTGGTAAATTTTACCCTGTTGTCAAACCTATTTGACAACTAATGTTGTTATATGTCACTTCTAATGACCTAAGACATTTTTAGGTTTTCCTTCATTGAAACAGCTACCATTTTCGGTTTCCAATCCATCATCACGAATGACATAAAAATAACCGACAAAGAAAATTAAATAAACTTGCAAATTAAATAATCTTGCCAACATACCTTGATGATCTGGAGTTGTACTCCCTCGTCAGTCTGAGGTCCTGAGAAGCAGTTACACACAGTCTCTACTATCCTGTCTATCAGCAACTTGCCAGGAGAGTTAGGGTCTGGCACATTCCCTGTCAGGTGTCCGTACGCTATCAGTTTCTGCAAACCATCATTACTTACTTTTAAATCACTTTTATAACCTCTTTAATATCCAAGACGCGTATAAGTGACGTTTTGGACGCGATTTCAAACATTGTTCGGTTTTAGTGGCCCTTGACTTCCCAGGCCAACTACTGTATAACTAAAATATTATAACAAAAAAAGGGTACTTTCCTGTTAAAGGGAACATTCATTATTATCGATGATTGTTTTTCGATATTTTTATTTCGATCCAATATCAACGAATTGAAACATATCAGCTGATAACCACGATAAATAAATATTGTAAAAATAAACAATTAAAAAATATATTGAAATGAACTGTTCTAAAATAACCTAACCTAACTAACCAAACTTGCTGTAACATTTCAAAATTTCGTTTGATAATTCCCCACATGCCTTTTCTGTTTTCAAATGGAATTTTGAAATGGTAAAAGTTTGGTTAGTAATGTTAGGTTAGTTTAGAACAGTTTAATTTCTTAATCAAAATAGGTATATTATTTTTGCCTAAACAAGATCAGTTGTCAATTTGTAATTTAAATGTGTTTGAATATATTGAAACAGAAGTAATAGCCAATGAATCATAAAGCAAAAACAAAATATCGATATATCGAAAAAAGTCATCGATAATAATTAATGTTCCCTTTAACAGGAAAGTACCAAACATATTATATAGGTAGCCTAATAATAATAAAAATAAAATAAACTATAGCTCGGCCGCTTAGAAAACGACCTGCGCGCTAATGCTAAACCAATGCTGGAGGAGGTCGTTTTCTAAGCGGCCGAGCTATATAACTAAAGTATATACAATTATATGGCATTTTCATTTTATGGCTTGATATTACGATAATTAGCAATTACAATAAAATGTCTGAGCTTTCCACGGAGTTTTGAGCCTACTTTCAAACTGAGCTGATATCATTTTTGGTTACCGGTACCTAACAATAATATGTTAAATTTCAACTTCACTGACCTGAAGACAATCTAGAGCAGTAACGACAATCCTTGCCGTCTTGCTTTGACTTGCCAGTTCAAACGGTGTGAAATACTTCTCTGCTGTGATGTTACTGCTTGTTTCATCTTTAGGTAGTGGGAGAGCAGAGGACGAAGAAGTGTTGTTTACCTGCTCCTCTTTCAGCTCTGCATGTATTTCATCTGTAGGGAAATACTTGGTTAGTAACCCTGGTTGATTACTTAACCATGTTGGATTTTTAGAAACCAGAGTAGAAGGTAGGGAACATTTAAGGCAATTTTTTTGTTTTTTTTTGTGATGAATATGTTGGCATATCCCTGGGTAGGCCTATCGCCTTCATTAGCATACCTAAGAAATAACCTTATCTCCTCCCTCGAGGTCGATGACCAGCTTGTTCTTGATGGATAGACAATGTCATAAAAACACTAAAATTTATAAATATTACAGCATTGCAACATTAAAGCGACAGGTTGAAAAAATCATCTAGGGGATGCTTTACCAGTCGCCACTCTCTCAGCTGGTTTTGCTAAAATCTCAGGGTCAAAGTTTTCTCTAGTCCAAAGGCAATTGACTACAGTGTACATAGTGCGGTCCATAGTGCAAGACTATGGTAACCATAGTCATACATGACCAGAAATCGCTCAAATGTAACAATAGATTAATAGATTAATAGACAATAGATTAATAAGTAGCAATAGATTAAGTAAATCACAAAACTGATTTCCTGTTACAGGTATTAGGTTTTTCAATGCCCTCCCTGGTATTTTCCGTTCCCAGAGGAAATCAAAATTTGTATCTACTGTGAAAAATTGGCTTGAGTTGAACCCATATTACAAATTTGATGATTTTTTTTTATGCCATGAAGGCTGCACAAAACTTAAATATTTAATCTACTGAAAGGTTTTATAAAACTGAAAGGATTACTGAAAGGTTGATAGGTGAAGGTGTTTTGTTTGACAATTATATTTTGCATAGTTTGCTGTTTGAATTTTTGACAGAAGCGCTGTTGTTTGGTTTGCAGTGGATTATTTTATACTAGGTGAAACCCGTCGAAATCGACGGTTACTTTCAAGGCTTACGCTAATTCATCTAACGATAAATGTAATATATTGAGTGAAATTATACATATTTTGATCATTTAGCATTGTTTAAAGATTAATAAGTGTAAAACAATAATTATATTAATTGCGTTAGTTACCAAATATGGTTGATCATTCAACAAATAAAATATTTCCCATACTGTACGTCATCGGAGTTTTTAGTATGTAAACAGGTATCTCTTCCTTTGGAAGAACCTTTAAATAGTATTAAAATTGTATTGGTGGATCTTTTGTAGCTAAACACTTCCATGATTTCATCAGTGTAATGCAGGTTAATTATTTTATTTTAAAAAATATCTGTTTGTTGTGAATACACGTTATAACTTCAAAGGGAGGTATATACGTTACAGTGTAAGTTTGATTTTTAAAACGTCACGTCGCGTCACCTAATATCGTACTCTTCTGTGCCAATGAATAACCCTCTAGCACAGTTTTGAGAAATTGGTTGTGAGGTTACTATTAAAGCTGGAATTCCTTGACATGGGGGATGTCAGTTAGTTGTCTCAGCCTTATCAGTTACATAAAGTTGTCAATATAATCTCTTTACGGAATGTTAGGTGTAGTGGAATATACTTGAAGTGAAGTTGGCTTTTATTCTTGAACTTAAGGGGCCTCCTCATTTATATTGTTGTGCAGCTTCATTGGCAAAAAAATAATACGAATGACATAGTAATGCGGCATTTGTGACGCTCGCGTCACAGCAGCGCTGCTATCAACCGGTTCAATCCGCTTTAGTCGCGAACACTGGAGGGAGTAGGGAAGGGGTAGAAGGAGGTCAGTCGTTGCCTGGAGTCCCCGGAGTGTTCACATCGACGAGGAACGGGATGAAATCGATAAGTTATAGTATTAAGCTAAATCATTAGTTATTTAAATATCATGTTCTAATTCTTTTCAGTACGGGGGGGGGGGGGACCAAGGGGTTAGGGATTCTATCGTCAATTAAATATCCATTATGTAAACTGAGTTATCAGTACCTTTCGGGCCCATAAGGCGCGAAAGGAGTTTTTAGCTTATTCTTATTTATTAGTTTAATTGGTAGAATGCATTACTAAATTTAGATCATCAAAATGGCTGTGATATAGGTGTGGCTTGGCTCAGTTATTTAATTTTAGTTAAATAACATATTATGACTTAGAATGATAGCACGCACAAGAAATCTCTGACTTAATTGAGCCTCAAATCGATCCTATGAGCCCAGTACCGCTACACATTTCCAAAAACCAAAAAATAATGTTAATTGGTTGTTACCTGTAATCGAAGTAACCTCTCTGAAAAGTCTGCAGTAGGCTATTGCAGTTTTCCAGCTTAATTACTTTCTAAATCATGCACATATTTCTAAATAAATATTGTAAAATGTTTTATTCAGCTACTGTAAACCATTATTAATTTTTTTTAATATGGACACGGCTCAATTTGGCACCGTGCCCTTCTGCACTTGTATTGTTTTGTATTGTATTACACAATCGATGATTTTTCCAATGATTGAAAGCATGTACAGTATGACAATAATCTCATGAACCTATGAGGATCCGTCTAGAAAAATATGATAAAATATAAGGAAAAGGTGTGAAAAAGGCAGAAATCAACCCGTAAAATAGATATAAGATAGTTCAATAAGAAATAATTTTAAGAGTTATTGTCATAAAAGGATTGTCCACTGATTTCGTATTGGAACTCTATTTTGTAACACATGACATATACAGAAGAAAATCAATTTTAAAATCAGAAAAAAACATCTATATAAATAAAATTACAGTTTTGTCTGTACATTGCTTAGAATCATGCAGTTTTTGGTTATTTTTACGTTTCATAGCCTAAGAAAGCCGAAACGAGTCTTATCTCAATTTCTGTCTGTTTGTCTGTCTGTTTGTCCATTCTGTGGTTGCGTCTGTAACGCCAAAATGTCATTTTACGCGGCCTACTCCTAGAAAACTAGAGAACCGATCAAGGTTCTAATAATTTTTCTGTATTTACTGGATTGGTGAGAGTGTCTTTGGCTATAAAAACATGGCCTCGCTTCTTTGAAAACAAAATAACGAACCACCAAAAACCCAATTTTGTTAGATTTTTGTCAAATTTTCTCCCAATGTTTACTATTACATTTTATGAAACAACGATCAGCTGTTTGGATTAGTTCTCACTTCTAGCTGTCACTGATATGTTTACATTAAAAGTTGTTTACAAATACCGCAACCGTTTCCGATCAAGTTTAGTCAGCACATCCAAACCAAGTGAGATTAAAAACGTTGTACCTTACTTAACCGGTTTAATTAATCGCAAGTGCAATGATTGTTCTTGAGTTTTGATAACCGGGGAAAATACCGTAAATCAGTGTTGTAACAGTGCAAGGAAACTTACATTTTTTTAATCATCGTCACCAATACCATAGCTTACAAAGGTTTCCACTCATTGACGGCGCTTGAAGGACAGTTGTGTAAAGTGCAAAGTAAAAAATCACAACTGCAGTGGGTGATCGTGGATGTTGCTGCGATCTTGGAAGATCTTTCTGATTTCGCTGTGATCGTACCGTAACGGAGGTTTAACTTAACAGATGTAGCTAAACTCGCTTTTCCAATGTGTCACTTTTGCTTTCTACTTACTTACATTTCGACAACGATATCGGTACTTTTCCTACTTAGGAAGTAAAACTACAAACGTACAAAACCCCAGATTTGTGCGTTTTTTGTCACATTTCCTTCGAATGTTTGCTAGATATATGTACCGATTATCGTTTAGAGATTACGTAATCTTTTAAATAAGAAACCTTTGTTTGGATAAAGGTGGTTTCTTCAAACTGCCATTAATATGTTAACATTAAAAGCTGCTTACAAATAATGCTACTAATGGGAAATAACTTTGATTTTCGAAAACTTAAAAAAAATTTAAAACCAAAGAAGATTAATAACTTCTGTACTGCACCACATCAAGTGAAAGTTTTTTTTAGCAAACCATAGTAAGCTTTCAAAGCTTTACGTTGTTAACGTTACATGTTACATGTTTTGTGGCCTGAGTATTTATTTATTTGTATACTAGCTGTGTGCCCGTTCTACGCACGGGGATCTTATTGTAGTCAGTTACCTTTTTATTAAGAACAGAATTTGGTTTGCATATTTTCAGATATGCTGGCAAAACTATTATACAGTATATAAACCTTCGCAAATACAGTATCTGACAGTTTCAAGCCAAAACAAATGCTTCGAAATTAAATGTAACCTGGGTCGTGTTGGTCCATATGTTAAATCCAATGATTAAACTAAAAAATGCTTTATAGATCTATGAGGCATAGCCCTAATGTAGGCCTATAATTGAAAGTTACCTTCCACAATGGTTAAACGTATTTAAGGTACTACTTCAACCTCCCAATTTAACACTTTATTCGTGTTGACATTTTCATTATAAAGGTACTTTTGTCCTTTCCGTGAAACACTGAGAAATAAGGACATTAATGCTTTACTAACAGACATACACACAAAAATACAGAACTTAATTAGGGGGTTTGCTACGCTTTAAGCATAACAAAGTACTTGTAAAATTAGTATCTAAAATATTTTGTTAATGTCATCAAATTTCATCATAACAATGTATATTTGCTTGGACCGATGATGACCCGAAATGACGGCTTACTATATGAAATGAAGACGACTGGTCCAGGGTGGTCCAGCCACCCTGGTATAGACGATTGGTAATTTATAGTAAATATTACCAAAATAGGCCACGAACTATTGATACATAAACAACGTAAAGCGTTTAAACAATTCATTATGGTTAGCTGAATAAATGTTTTACTAAAGTGCGTTATCGTTTTCTTAGCATAAACTAACATTTTGGAATCAAGAAAGAAAAAGCAAAAATTGTACAGTTAAGACATCAATTAAATTGAATACGCCTGTAATAATAAATAAGGTGCAACACCAACGATAACTAATTTGTAAAGTACAGTGATGTGTTGGTACTTAAAAATGATTCTTGCTACTACCAACAGTACCAACGGTTCTAAGGAATAGAACCGGTACCAAAAACCAACGTTCACAGTTGAGAACTATAGTACAGCCGACCAACTATATGAGTTAATCAAGTCCCGA